CGGTCTGATGCCATCGTCGACAGTAATAGAAGCCATTCCTTTTTCCATCGTCTAAGTCCATATATTGCTGGTCCACCTATACGTTCAAAATTTTTCTTGACCGTATCAGTCCAGGTTCTTGATTGCCCCACCTCAATTTCGACGTTATCCATCGCATGGTTTAGCAAGTAACGAAGTATGTTAACTCCTGTGGCGCACACGAAGAGCTTGCCCTAACCAGAGAAGGCGATGCTCTGTGATAACATTATTAATAAAGGTGATTTGAGCGAAGATAAATATATGTGCGATTTTATCCGCTCGACCAGTAAAATATATCTTAGATATGAGTGGTCAAAAGGAGATAAAATATCCTCTCAATATCCTCCACTTTCATTGGCCATGTAACCATATAGCAAGACCGAGAAAATCGCGGTTATGTAGACGCGGACTTTCGTTTTTATGGCGACTACGGTATTGGAGTGGATCCGAGGTATTTAAAATCGAGCAATTTCTTAACTAGCAGGAATTTATGAAAAGAGGTATTTTATCAGCTTCTTATATAGGACGAAAAGATTTTCGTTTTATTTATATTGACCCTGAGTCCGATTTTTGCTTTTGATTCCTCAGTATTCATTGCTATTCGTACTTCAACAAAGTGGCGAGACAAGATAGTGAACAAACCAAAATATAACGAAACACGAATAACGTTTCGAGCATACGGCTTGTTCCGACAGAGATAAGCATTTTGAAATGGGTATTGCTTAAATCTTATTGCTCTAAAAACATTGCAAAACTTCGCATTAAAAGCAATTTTGCAACATTTAGCAATACCCATGAAAATGAGGTATATTCAGCCGTATTTTTCAAAATTGCCCATACCCTTAACCCTCAAAAAGTCAATTTTTCTACGTCTTAAGTATCGTACTGGTCAAATATCGCAAGATCGACTGGGCAGCATAAAAATGCACCTATTTTTGAAATGCACCTCATATAAGTGAGGGAGTTTTAAAATCACATCACGAAAGCATTGCGAAATTCCGGCCCCGAAGAATTTCAGAAACAAAAATTTCATCGAGTGAATATTCGCTATATATCAATGGAACAAACACGACGATTTCATAAAAATGCCAGATTTAGCAAGTAACGAAATCTGAGTGAAACTCTTGTGATGTACGACAGAGAACGTGCTCTAACCAGCGAAGGCAACGCTTTGTGATGGCACTGTTAATGCAAGTGGTATTTAAACGAATGCGGATGCTTAAACCCCTAGAAAAGAGAAGATAAAAGGAAACTATCCGCTTTTAGCCAGTGTAAGGTATATCCTAAATTCGCCAAGCGGAAAAGTTCTCAGTCACAATCACCTTCGCCCACATTTTTTAAAATTTCAACTATAGCATCAAATCGGAAGACTTTGAAATACTCACCCTCATAGCTACTGGAACCAACCTAACCAATAATGATGGGAATTATTAGAATAATAAAAATAAATGTCACTGCATTCTTGTGTTTTCCAGTAAATTGCGCATGTTTGTGGACAAAATTCTTCGGTAAGCTTTATTTAAGCAGCTTCACTTCATAATATTTGCTTTTATTTTATAGGGTGCCATGCCAAAAAAGATTAATTTATTTACCACTTATTGTTTTTAAAAAATTAAATGTTTCAAATTGTTTTTTTTTTCGTTACCAAGTTTCGAAATAATTTACGGATTCGCTCAATTTGCAGAGTTGCATCGCCTCATCCTAATTCAGTGCAAATATAAGGGTGCATGCAGAATTTAAATCAAAGCACGAGGTTTTAGTTGCACGTTATATTGCTTGTCCTCCATTTTGAGGTATTGCTTTATTGCAAACATTGTTTACCACGTCATTCATATTTTGAATACTCGTGTCATATGGAAAAAAAAAAATCGCAAAAACCAAACGTATTATCAATGCTGATATCAGTGAATTGACACTTCAGAGCATTTGCATCCTTTTATAACCATTTTTTGCGATATGAAGAAGTACAAATATCCCTCGTCGAATTTTAAAAGTTATTAAAGTAATTGTATGTTAAAAAAATTTCCAACCGTCAAAAAGCCCTTTGTATTGCAAAGAATTTTTTTCATCAAATTCTACTTTTATTAAAAAATCAATTTTTTTAATTTTGAAATTCTTAACATTTACCCTATTTTTACCATATTTTTATTTTTATAAATACAAAATACAACAAATTGCTTGCTCGTTTTAAATTTTCCAAATACATTTTGCAAAGGCGGTATACACAATATTTGCAGCGCTTCTATTTGTAAAAGATTATGGAAAATAGAAGAGATTCCATTTTTCCAGTTCAGCTAATATCACTTTTTTCTGCAGTTATTTTTCTGTTTTGAATGATTCGCATAAAATTTAGATCCGATTTGTTTTTATGGTGGTTTATTTGTTTAAAATGAAGCAAATAAAATACCAACTGATTTTTTTTGCAAATGAATTGTAAAGATTTAACTGTTAAGAATCATAAATTATCATGAAATGCAGCATTTTAGTTATATTTAGTATTTAGCTGTATTTAAGAATTATAAATTGTCATAAAATACAGCAAATATTATTGCATCATTTCTGGAATGATAGTGATTTTGCACTTTGTTGTTTCCCACATTTTTGACACTTTGAGATAAAGAATAGCGACAGTGAACAGCCTCATATTCTACTTGCTATGGATTCGTAGAAACGTAATGTAACGGCCATATAAAGCCTACTGAAAATAATAGATGATATTCATGGTATTTTAATCTCTTGCAAAATCCAATTCTGAGCAAAGGAAGTCATAAAAGGCTTTTAATAAAAGTAAATGTTGCAGAAAAAGTTAAATTCTGCAGAATTAACCCAAAAGCAACTATAATAAATTAATCAATTAAGTTGATTTTCGATAGTCGCATGCTACAAGTTGTTCAAAAAAATTTCGTGCTAGCGATTCTTTTATTATAAAATGGCTTCTTGGCAAAATTTGCATGAAATGACAATCCAGTAGTCTAATGAAAAACAGTGAGCCCTATCATTTTGTAAATTTTATAGTTTCTCATTGCAATCATAAAATGATAATAATTAAGATTTTTTTCTTTATCTGAAGTCACTCATCATTTCAGATTAAACTCTGCCGGCTTGTCGAGCCAGATAAACTTCATTTGACGGTGGAAATAGAGCAGAAGAATACCTTTATAAGAAGTAGATCCACAGCATTGGTGCTCCGAAGGCAATCAACTGGACCATTTTATCTCTATATTTTTCTGGCATCTGAGAGGCACGATTTATTTTAGATTTAAAAGAAATTAAAGAACCATCTATTAATTATAAGACCAGAATATTTGTAATATATTGATAATATTAATGTTATTTCTAGTCTACCACATATTAGAAGTTATCCAGAAATGTCTTGGACAAAAAGACGATTGGTCTGCATATTCCTATAATCCAGGCTATAAGTCAGTTTTTATACTCTCGAATAGTTTGGTAATCAGCTGCATATACTTGCTTCCTACTATAAGTGGATATTCCAGATAATTCTATTTTATCAGCTGTTGCGAAAAAAGTTACGGTATTAATTCATTTCTCATTTGTCAAAGAAGTGATCGATTGTGATTTCAATGCTGATTTATCAGATGTAAAATACTTGCTGCCAAAACTGCTAATTTCGTTATCACAACATCGTCAGAAGCACTCTTCTTTCATTCGAATTAATTTGATGAATTTTTTCTCTCCGGAAATTCTTCCGCAGGGATCGCAAATATTTGCTAGCATGTCTGCATACATGTCTTCTTTGTGTCTCGGTCGCACTCATATCTATGGAATTTAAATTTGCATCAATTGAGGTCGGTTTTGTTATATCATCGAAAGATCGAAATAATATATTCAATCGTATTTATTATCATTAAATATATTCAAAGATGCCTATGGCGAGCGCTCGTCGAAATGCTTCCCGCATTTTTCTCTCCTTCACCTTGGGCTTATATCTTGTTGCCTCTGTTCAGGCGAATTGTATTTTCATGGCTTTGCTGCATTAATTATTTACTAATATAATATGAAGATGGTAATCGAATTTCAGGTGAATCAATGCAGACTTATTCAGCGAAATTCGTTGTCACCATTCGTAGCCGACGATTTCCAATAGCTTCCATTTAATTGATTATGCGCCGAAGTCGTTCCCACCTACTAAGCTATTTGCAAAGATTGTACAATGCGCTGCTAAAAATTAAGAAATTATGTGATAACAAATTTTGTACTAATATTTCCAACAAATATTTAGTTGTTAATTTTAGAAATCTTATGCTTCTGAATCTTAAAACGAAAGCTAACATTTTTTTTTGAAAAAGTGTCGGTGGTTTTAGTTTTTATGGTTTTTGTGCAGTTTGCTCGATTTAGTTAGTTTGGTTGGTATTTGTTTCAGTGGTTTTGCAGATAAACATGTGGTTTCGGGTGACCGTAGAAGATCCGTGGATGATTACCTCTAATGCGGATGATTTTGTGGTAACCAAAATGCACCATGGTTGGGAGTTAGGTGAAACGTGTTCTTTGGTGAAAAACCATTTGGAAATCCCAGGCATTTCATCCGTCTCTTCTCCTTTGAGGATTTACTCCATTTTAGTGGCCAGGAGCGCTCACCATTGGCTCATCTGGTAGACTCGTTCCGCTGACTTATCCAACCAGGTAAATTTTCCCAAGTAGTTAGATGGCGAACTGCAGGTATCATCGGGATCTCTTTCCTTGCTTACCAGTTATTCCTTTTATAGTTTTAGGACTTTTTTATATTGATATTTCGATTCGTTATTTTTTTAATTGATGAATATATTAAAAAATAATGGATGTTGATACATAATTTTTATAATTATCGAAATTTTCTCATTTTCTTTAATAATTTGCTTAAAAATATATAAAAAATATTCAACAACTTTTAAAACCAATTGAAGTCGGTAATATTTGATTATTTTAAGGATTTTCTCGCTGTGAAATATCGAAAATAGTCGGAATTGAAAAGCCGATAAAAAATGAGGATTATCGAAAAGAATAAGAATGTTACAACAGAAAACGAAAATCTGTCGGTTGCAGTAGTAAATGAAAGTCTCTTATCTCAAGGTATATATTTTTTCAAAAGGCAAACAAAGTTTATTTTTTCTGAAAAACAAGTTTTCTCCAAACTCTTTTGTATCCACACTTCATGTATCCTTCGTATTTTCAAATATCTTTCAAACTTTGATGTGTTGTTTTGACACTTTTCAAATTTTTCTTAGGAAAGACTGGTTGTATACTCTTTGTCATCTTGATTCTAACTTTTATAAATTCACTAGTTGTTATTTCATTTGTAGCAAAATACAGTTGGAAATGTGACAGAGCATTAAGGAAATTTAAGGAAATAAGGAAATAAAATGAAAATAGATTTGCTTATAATAATGGAAAATCTGGCACTGATACTGTAGAAAAAGAATTAAATGTCATTAAACGATGAGATATTAAGAGAATGTTTTGTCTGAGCGTCGATTTATTGGCTCAGAATCACTGAAAAAACCTGGTGGTGCTGGTAATCGATACTCCTACTAACTTAATTGAAGGTTGTTAGCGATCTCATACTTATTACTTTTTATTGCATTTCGCAAGCGTTTCCACAGAAATAAACAATATTAAGAGACATTACAAAGAGACATTCATTACAAGATGTTGAGATTTTATAAGTATGAGCTTATGTATGGGCTTTTAAAAGCATTAATATTAAAGAGGGCAATAGGTTTATAGGTTTTGTTGATATTTTAGTGTATCAGTATACAGTATTGCAAATCTCACAGAATTGATAAAGTGTAGAAGAATTTAAGGATATATTTTTTAAAAGAATCCTCATTATTATTGGTTAAACTCGCTTGCTTGGCGCACTAGACAAATACACCAGAGAGTCCTTTGGCGATAGAAGTACCGAGTTTTGAGTTAAAGTAAAAACTCACAAGTTAGTAACTTTGAGCTTCAAGTGGATTTTAGAAGTAAATAACTCGATTAACATCGAATAAAGCAAATAAATTGAAAGGTAACATACCAAATTATTGAGTCGAAACCTTGTAATCTTCCAAAGCCATTATCCTCGTCTTCCTAACTATAATTTTTTTAGTTTTTGGGATGTGCCTTAGCGAAAGCGGAGTTCTAAGTTTAGGATTTTAAGTAAACTAGGGTATCAAAAGCCTAAATTGGTTTTAGGAAAGTTAAAGCAGCAAAGAGATTTAAAATGCAAAATAAATAAAGAGAAAATAAGTTATGGTAAAGAAACAAAAACTCTAGAATTAAGATACACGGCTGGAGGTTTTTTATGAAGTATAAGAGATTAGGAGATATCAAAGGCTTTTAACTAGAATTTTGAAGGATGTAATGTTATAACAGATTCTGAATTAAATTTATCAATCAGAATAATGGAAATATTATTATTTGTATGATGCTGTCCAAGACCATGTAATCCATAGTTTCAAGTCCTGAGCCTTGGGGAAAATATTAGAAGCAAGAGGAGTTGAAAGATTTGAAGAGTTACATAGAATATAAAAGGATTTTAGGGACTATCATTTTGAGGATGGGCGAATTTTTTCGTCTTGGATAGTGATAAAATACCTATTTTTATCAAGCCGTTACTCATGTATATTCATGCACGATCACATGCACTAAATATATGTTCTTTATGCTATCATTGTAGAATAAATAATTACTTATAAAAATCATATTTTATATTTGCGCTAAAAAAAATAGAAAATTTTTATAAATTATTACAAAAAAACTTTCAGTACTATTATTTCTTGGTTATAATGTTAATAATCTTTATTAATAAATATTATTATCACATCATATTATCACATCATAACTAAAAAATTTGTCGATGCGAGGCTTTAGTAGTAGATCTTTGTTTGTGGTACATTTTATTTAATACTGTAAGGAATAGACATTTATGGAAAGGCTAAAAATTTATTAGTTATATATACATATATATGTGTATATATATATATGTATATATATTTATATATATTTACATATGTTTATTCGTAAATATTAGTTCATATATTATATTTATTTTATTTATTTATTTTTATTTTTAGGCTTGAACAACATTGAAATAGATTTGGGATCTTGTATATGTATTCATGGTCATTTGCAATTTGTAGACTGCATAATGCAATCATTACTGTATCAAAGAGCATTTATTCCGGCCCTTATTCCGCAAATTTTAGATGGTAAAACTCAACAAGAGATGAAATTTAGTGAAACTTATCATAAGGTGATTTTATTAAAAATCAGATGAAACAAATAGAAACTCTGTTTTGCATTCTGCAATAATAAATTCAAAATTAGTTTGTTAAAACTTTTTGTGTTAGTCTTTGTGGAAATTTGCATGTGCGATTGTTTTTACATGTTTTTTTATTGCAGGTGAGAAAAACCTTGAATAAGTTATTCTGTTGTGAGAACCGTCGTCTAATAAAAGAAGTTATCGTTGTTGTTGGTGCTTCTTGTCATTTACCTAGCGAAGTATATTATATTCCAGTCTGTGTTTGCGATAGCCTTGGGTCAGATGATATGAAATGTGGTTTAAATTGTTCGAGTTTGACTCCAATGTTCGTTTTTTATACACCTTTTTTCATACTCAGGTAGTACCGGAATAATGTAATGATTAAGGCGGACGATTAATTTGGAGTATAACAACGAAGATTTGGATCGCAGCCAGTTAGTTTTCTCTGCTTTTCCGATGAGTGTTTTTGGACAAGATCCTCTAAAATTTTATCTGCCTTTCTTCAATCTCCCAAGCCTATGGTCGAGTGAGAGTAATCATTACCATCTACTTGGGATTGTTTATATATAATTTATTGTATTTATATGAATATCAATTGAAACAGTTGAAATATTTCGATAAATTCCTATAGATTCTGGAAGAATAGAATATTATTGTCAATAGAAAAATTGGCAATTTTTAATTTTTAATTCTTAATTTTGGTCCGATATTTTTCAGGCAGTTGCAAAAGATTTGCCTAAAGGTGATGATGGGGTCAAATATGTATTGCGTCCAAGAAAATATGTCTAACAAGCGAGCATATGTTATTCTGCGAGCTTCTAAGACCTTGCGCTGCTTGGAGGATGTTGAAGAAGAGTAATTTTCTTTATATTCTTGTTATCATTTCAATTAATCAATAAGTTTTTCATGAATTATTTGTTTGATCGAAGGATATTTTAAGAATAAGGATATTTTAGGATTGCTTTAAGATTTTCGAACCAACTTAATAAAATTTTTTATTTCTAATGGTGGTTGTAGGAAAGGAAATTTTATTTTCCATGATTTAGAGCTTTTTGAAGGTAATTTTCATTGCAGAAGCGGTTTTGAGCCTCCAAGTCTCAATTTAATAAAGAAGCGAAATATATTTTCTTTCAAATTTGAAATCAAACATCATTGTAATGAGGAATTCGATTCGAAGCCGCAAAATTATTCTTGGTTTCGTCTTTCCTCAGTTCTTCGCGGCTTTCCTGCGTAGTTCTTTAATATATTTTTGATTTTTGATTGTTTGAGAACTGCTGTACTTTTGGGGTAACCTTAATCTTCAGATCTTTACTTCATTGGTATTCATTTATTTGGTTTTCTTCTGGAAAAAAAATGATTGTTGGATATTTTTTCCCAGTGATCTTCGAATATCAGATAAATTAATTAATTAGGTAATGAATCTTATTTATATTTTTTTCGTTTTTTGATCTCATTAGCTTCTTTTTTTATCTTTTTGCTGTATAATCAATTTTTTTTTAATTTTCTCCACCGTATTTTTTCTTATTAATTTCATATTTTAAAGTTATTTTGATAAAAAATTTTGTGTTGTTCTGATCTTTAAATTGTTTTTCTCGAATGCTGGTGAAAATTTTTAAGCATTTCTTGTATACTGTTTACTGGATGACTGTTCTTTCTGTTTGGAAGGAAAATTTAAGAGAGAGATTTCCATATATATATGTATATATATATACATATATATAAAATCTTTATCCAATTAATTTGCACCATTTAATTATACAATTACATAGCTTATTGATATCTTCCACTTAGCCAAAGATCCTTTTTTCAAGAATTTCTCAAATTCTACATTTGTAGTTTTTAGGATCTTATAGGGAAATTTTTCGCTAATGATTTTGCTGGAATAAGTAACAATGTGAAAGAAATCTGGACGTATAATATCTGATAAATATGTCTATTATTATGTCTTTTATTATTTTATTTATGTCTTAAATGGCACTGGTGATAATTGATCTTTCTTAATTCTCAATGATTTTTATGACTTTGCTATTGTCTTGATAGTCTGTTGATCATTAGGTGTTTTTCATGAGTCATTCATTCTATTCGCCAAATTATGAATTATCGGATTATCGGCTAAATTGTCGATTTGGAGTTCATAGGGCAAATTCTCTTCATTCTCAATCTTGCAAATTTAAAGCAACTTTTTTTTGAGTTAACCTCGGGTTTGGTTTCAGTCAATTTTGGTCCATTTTGCTTAACTAAGGGTCTTTGTCTTTGAATATCACCAGTGCCATTTATCGTCTCATATGTAGATGCGATCCATTGAATTTTCAGCCAGGAGTCCTGGTGGATCCATTAAGTTTCAGTTCGAATGTGAGATTCCATTTCTTGTAATAATCAAATCACCAAATAGTCTACGGAATTTTTGATATCTCCGCTAAGCATCGTGTCGTTTATCTTTTTTTATTATTCTTTTTTTGTTCTTCATCAGCGACGAATTTGCCTCGTCATTTTTGATCTTTCGAATTATAATCAAGAATTCTCAATCTAGACTGGATATAAATATATATATATATATAATCTTCGAAATATAGAAATCTTTTCAGACATCTTAATAAAATCTTGCAAATCTGTGCTGGATTTTTGCTTTTGGTAGTAGAAAAATATTAGATGAATGAAATCCAATATTTCTAGCCGAAATTATATAGCATGGTAAAATAAGGTATCTGAAGGGAATTAAAAAGCTTTGGAAAATTGTTTCTTTTGGCGAGAAAAATCAAACATTTACCACATTCACCGCATCGGTGTGAGATACTGATAACCAGAAAATATATTCCTATCTGGTTGATAAATTAAGCTTATCATTTACTGCAAATGCTATCTTGATTACATACTTTTTACGCGTCAATTCTTATAAACTTCAGTTAATTTGGTATCTTTTTCGTGAATTTTATGAGATTTAAGGTAGAGATTTTCGAAGCACTTAAATTTGAAATATTTTAATGATAAATGACAACAATATAAATATGAGACATTATGGAATAAAGTCGTCATGAAATATGTTTTTCGGGCATTTCAAACGATATCAGTTTTTTATTTGTAAGACAAGTTCTACCAGTTGTCAATTTATTTCTATTTATTAAACCAATTGCAGTAAATTTGTCGGTTATAATTGAATATAAGGGTGAATCATCCAAGTTAACTTACTGGGAAACAATTATTAATTGTGGTGTTAATACGAAATAACTTGAATTTCGGGTCTAATATGCATCCTTTTTTTATTAGCCGAATTTTATTTATTATTGTCTTCGCATAAATTTTCATCTCGATGGGTTTTAATGTGGCGATGGAGGTTGCCAGATTGAGTGAATCGCATTAAGCATAAATGACACTGATATGGCTTTTGGCCTAAAATTAATTTTGCGATTTTTCTATAATTTATCACAAAAAAATTTGCTGTTATTGAAGTTTTTGACTTTAAAACCTTAAATATTCAGATTAACTAACTAGGAAAATTATTCAGTCGACCTAATTTTGGTTTGGAATATAAGGTTTCGGTGAAATGAAGGCAAAGAAGGCCAATCAAGAGCTGTACTGATACAGTCAGGAAAAATATATAGTTGAACCAGCAATATATGCATTTAGACTGCGGAAAAATAATGATTTCTATTAATGTTAGCCATGGCATTAGGCCGAGCAGCTTGGAAACGACAGCTTTGCTCTTGTAGCCAGCGGACCAGTAATGATGCGAAGAAAAGAGAAAAATAAAGGATCCTAGCTAAATTCTAATATATAAATAATTATAAATAAATTTTATTATATAAATTTTAATAAGTGAAGGATTTAAACTTAAATTCTTTTGCGACTCATTTCGTATAAAAGTGATATAAGCTAGAAAGACGATTATTTATGTTTTTTGCTTTCATATACCTGTGTGAGTTCGTAAATGCTTTGTGCGGGTGGAACTATCAGTGAATGCTTTGTCGCATTGATTACATGGATATGGTTTTTCACCAGTGTGTGTCCTGAAAATATTATATTTGAGAATTAATTTTATTCATAATTTTATATAGCCAAATATATTTTTATTCATAATTTTATATAGCCAAATATATATATATATATATATATAATGAGCAAATCCACAGTTCTTATTTAAGTTTGTAGAATTTATTCTCTTCTGAACTGTCGCATAACTATGCATTACTTTTATCAAAATAGCTTGCTTAATGTCCATAGTTGATACAATAAATAACAATACGCCACAATGTTCAGGTGCCTATTGAACTGTGGAATTTTTGTGGATTCGCTTGATGACTGATAAAAATGGATCAACGACTCGGAGTTGTTAACATAAAATAAAATTATTGCTTTGGAAAGGAGGACAAATAAGTTACTTTGATAATTCGAGTTTTTCCAAAAAAATAAGCGGTTTCTTCGACTGAGGTCGAGTGGCAGAAGTTCGTTTTAAATGAAAATCTGATTGGATTATCTCAAAGAAGTTCTGTCTTTTATGGAAGGGCTTATTTTATCAATCAGTGCAGACAGGTTTCTTTCTCGTTAGCGATGCTTTCTCGACGCTATTGGAAAAAGATTATTTTTTTGAAAACGGATCAAATTATTATGAAATTATGGATCTATGTTTTTTGTTATATTTAATTTTTAATTTTATGTATCATTCTATTTACATTCGTGCTTCCCCTAGATACAACACCAAAATTAGAACCTAAAATAGTTGCGCATTAAACAACGTATCATGATTGCCATATAATTCAAAAGTTAAGACCATACCAAGATTGCAATAAATAATTAGACGTTATTTTTAAAAATACTTTACCTTTTATGTGTTACAAGAGATGAACTCTGAGAGAATGGCCGAAGACAAACTGGGCATGAAAATGGTTTCTCACCTATAAATAGTGACGAATTTAACAATTATACAACATTATTTACAATATATGCGCATATTTGTCAGAAGGATAACTCTCTTATCCTTATCATTTAATCAGAGCAAAATTGAATGAACCGAGTCTTGAATTTTGCTTATTCTTTGCTTAATTTTTTAAATGCCCACTAGCGATTTGTAGGAAATATGAATTCCTTTTCCATTTTTATCATTAACAATGGATTAGGACGATTATTGGTTATTATTCGCCAAAAACTATTTGGCATTTTTGCAACCAATTTTCTTCATTTCATAGATAATGTAGGCCCAGAAAAAAAAATTAAAAATAATAAAATCGACCAATAAATTTTGGCTGAAATTTAGTAATCCACATATAAAAAATCTAAAAATTTTAAAAATTTTATATTAAATTTTGAATTAACCTGTATGAACTCGTTTATGAGCTGTAAGATTTGCTGCCTGAGAAAATTTCTTTCCACAAGCCTAGAAGCGAAATTTTTATTCATGAAGAATATGGTAGCGGTAAATTATAATTAGTAGTAAATTGACAAATTTTAAAAATACTAAAATTTTTTTTTAAAAAATCAAAAAACTTTCTTGAAATATTGAATAAAAAATTGAAAATATAAGCGAATTTAATGAATGAATTTTGAACGGTTGAAAGGTAAGACGGAAAGAAAATTTTATATGAATTTTGAAAATTGTTAATAAAATTCGCTGATTTTTCTTAAATAAATAAATTTCTTTCTACAAACTCTAGATACTCTTTAAATGCCAATAAACGATCGGGGAACGGATACGAAGTACCAGTACCGGCTTCAGTTTGACTTGGAATGGTTTATCTGGATTAGTTGCTGATCATTTTGCGAATTTAATGTTGAAAAAACGTAGTAAATTTCGAATTTCTGAACAAATTATTATACATAATAATTCTTAATTATTCTTAGATCAGCAAAAGATGTCCTCGTAAAATGTTTCGAAAATTTGCGAAACTTTATCAAACCTCCTTCCTTAAGACCAGGCAGGCTAATTACAACAGGAAAATTACTTATAAAAGGCAATCACTCCAGCGAGCTGAAGTGCAAATACTTCATGTTTTAATGTATTCAGAGGATTGAGAAGCCAAGAAAAGAAGCTCTCAGATTTTATACATTTGATGGGTTTATATTTCTCATTGAGCAAGCAAGAGGCTCGTTAAATCAATTCCTTCATGAACATGCACAAAAGCATGCACAAAAGCTGCCGAATACAATTTGAACAAGCTTACTTGACAAATAAATGGTTTCAAATTCTTTCTGCAACATTGTTTATGACATGTCAAGCAAGAATGAATTTTTTGGTCTGTTGGTGGTATTTCAAAAACGCTATGTTGATATGGCAAAGAAGCATTGAAGAATGGTTCAGTCCAATGTGCAGCGAAACGGTGATCAGTTTTAATCGAAAAATCATGCCAATGAGTGCTTGTGTCCATGAATTGTGTTGATAAATATGTTCCATCTGTAGGCCAACCACTATAAAAATCGGCCTGAGGCATAAAGTGACCAACATTATTAACAACTGAATGATGCTGCAAGTGATAGTGGTCGAAAAAATATTCAGAATCATAGTTAGGAAAAGCCATAGTGCTCTTTATTATAGAGGAACGCACAAATAATACAGTATTCTATAATTCATCACTCTTCAGCTAGTAATTAAGGTGTGTTTTCTAAGGTTTCTTGATCCTATAGCTCATAACTAATATCATATGCTTTATATTAATTTATAAATCGCTAGGAGCTGATAAATTAACAAAGCATTCTGGTGTTAAAACCAATTTTAAAAAGATTTGCGCCAGATTTTGATAATTTGATTTTGATAATTAGTGATAAATTTTACTTCAGAACCATTATGTCCAATAGATGTTCAATTATTCAATAATTCTGGAAAGATTGTTTAAGAATGAGAGTAATTTCCATCATAAAAAACTGATTCTCATTTTCGAGTTTGGTAAATTGCATCCTATTCCAAAAATACAACTCGAATACAACTCTGCAGATATTTAGATGGACCAGCAATATATGGACATAGCCAATGGACAAAGGAATGACTTTATTATTCTATAAAAAAACGTTCTTTTCTTGATTTGCTGAAGGTGATAAGATGTTCATAACATGCAGTGAAAAGACTTATACGATATTATAGGAATTTGAGCATTATCCAAAAAATTTTTGCATTAAAAATATTGGCAAATTTTCGGAATGGCAAATATGATAAAGGTTTTTTCTCCATAAAAAAAGCAATTAAAACGCGAAATTCTTGCGTTTTTAAAATTAAAAATTTTTAAAATTATAAATGACAAGTAGCAGTAAATAGCATTGTAGCATAACTAGCAGAATTATAGCATAACTAATGAAGCGTAATGAATTATTTTATATGCTTTTGGTGGCAAAATTTGTAAATTAATATTAGAAGTAAACAAACTGTTTCAAAATAAAAGATTTCATATAAAGCAAAATTTCTGTATTTTATTCGCATCACCTTTTTTTTAAAGAGTCCCCACCATTATTGATTAAACTCGCTCGCTAACATGTCGCATTGGGCAAATATGCCAGGGAGTCTCTTGGCGATAGAAATAAAAAGATGAGCCGCCATGATCATCGGGATTTTTGGTAGGCTTATTCCTGCGGGGAATAGAATCTCAACATCGGTATTCAGAATTGAGCAATTGAACAACAACCCACTGAGCCATTCGCACCACCTATTACTTTATGCATTTTTTCTTTTGTCCATGAGATGAGCAGAATTCAAAAAATTGCAAAACATTTCTTTCGTCTTTATTTTAAATTGTCAGATATGAAATTAATCAAAAAGAAGATTGTAGAAGACCTGGACCTTTTTTTAAAGAGCTCTCGCTATTTCTAGTTCAATTTCCTCTTTTATTTTGTTGAACCAACCGAAATCTGCCAGGAAGTCATTTGACAATAGAAGAAAAACAGATGGCGCGCCATAATCAAATTTCTGAAATTTTTGATAGGTTCAATCTTGCCAGAGGTACCTTAGCATCAGCGCCCCGAAATAAGAGCAACGAGCCACTGAATCATTCTACCATACAAAGGTCATAAAAATTTGCCAAATAATTCTCCTCATTAATTTAAAATTTAGTTGGCGAACTTTTTATTATTAATGTTAGATTGACCGATTTGACCGATTTTCTTCTTAATGAGAATTAGCGGCTATAAATAATAGCCGAAAGTATTAGCAATAGGGATATACGGTAAGCGAGCAATGAGTCGACAATTTTGAGTTCTTTCTTAATTAGGCTTCTTAATCCTTAGCTCTTCGCTTTATTAATATTAAGATGCTTTATGCATTAAAAATAATTTCAGAGCTAATGGAAAAATTTAACTAAAAAAATCTGAAATTCAATTTTGCTGGGCAAAAGTTTGCCTATAAAAATATTTAGAACATATTCGTCTCTCTCTGATTTATTGAAGCAAAGTTTTTTTTGGAAAGCTCACACTAATTCTGTTTAAACGCGTTCCACTTGTTTGCTGGCCCAGGCAAAATTTACCAGAAAATGACTTAGCGATAGAATAGCTCCCTGTTTTCGAAAGATAAGTACTAAGTAAAATGGATTGTTCTTATGCGAAGCAGAACCTAGATATAAATTATCCGAAGGGAAACAAGCCACTGAGTCGTTCATCACCAATTGTCAAATATCAGAGGAAAAGACCATTTTTACTTTATTCACCTTCCATCCTTATTGATGTAAAATAGCTCAGTTGATAATCCTTTTAACAGGAATAGTACCATGCAATAATTTATAACATATTTCATATTTCCAATAAATTGTTGAACTTATTGGACTATGAATAATGGATAAAATACTCGATCATAAACATAATTTTCAAAAGCAATTATAAAAAATAGTTCTTAAACTAATAGATCTTAAACTTCAGTTGCAATTACAGCAAATGTCATTTTCTGATTATTATTTTCATAAAATTTATCAGTGAAATTATGGTTATTCTGTTTTAAAACTGGGAATAGGGAGGGAGAAAATAAGAGCTCCAAGTTCAGCAAACTTATAATAGAAGATTTAATTTTAATGGTATCAAAAATTTACGTAATTTCATCATGGAATGATTTTATAAAATTAGTATTTTATTATTTTTCTTCATATTGGTGGTCTAAAAATAAATTGGTCAAAAATAAAATAAATTGGTGGTCTAAAATTTCAATATTAATAGAATAATGCAGTTTTGCTCGAATAATACTTTGCATCCAGTAATTCGTCTATTTTCTTATTTATTATTCTATTTTCGTTGGAATATTGTTATTACTTAGTTCATTTGCATCTTTCCATAATATTTTATTCTATTATTCAAAAATTTCTCGAAATTCCTTTTATCACTTTGCTATTATCTTATCACAGAGGATTATCAGTTATTACACGAACAATTATTTTTAATAAGATTCGATGCTGAGGTTCGATTTCCTGCAAGAGCAAATCTATAAAAATATCCAGGTGATGCTGGCGACTCAACTGTATTTCTATCGCCATAGGACTCCATGGCATATTGTTCAATGTGATAAGCCAGCGGAGCGAGTTTAACCAGTAATAGTAATGACCAGTAATGACTTTTAAAAAAAATTACCATTCAAAAAAAGATAACTTAATAAATTCCCAAAATTTATAGAATTTCTTAATTAAATATTGTTTAAATTTGGCGAACATAATATAATATTTTTCAATGAATAATCGGCTAAAATAAGGACAGTGAGAGCAACAACCAATCTTACCGAAAAATTTCTATGCATAATGTAACTTAAACAGGGCTCTTCTATTTGGCCTATGAAAATATCTTTAAAATTTATTGCATTCAATTTTAATTATAGTTTTATAGTTAGATTTATAGTTAGATTTAGAACGACTAGCAATGGCCAGAATAACTTTAAGTATAAAAATTTGTGCTTCTTTAGGATTGTAGAATTAAGCTAACGGAGCATGTCCCATAAAATCTTAATAGATTGATTATAATTTGCCTTATTTCTCCTAAATCGACTCATTTCTTTAAACCAATCTCTGGTCCTTATCAGTGGTTCAATGAGTTTACTTATGTTCTGATGGCAGTGCTATTTCACCATTTATTTGTTTTTCCTCTCTGTATATTTTTATATGATGCAGTAAAACTGTTTATGTAGGGTCAGTGAACACTACAGTCAGAATGGAAACGCACTGTAAAGAAGGAAAAAACGTTAGATTTTCAGCTGAAAAATATGGAAAAATATGGTTATCCTTGGCAAACAAGAAGGAAACTCCAGTTCTGTGCAAAAATGTAAACCGCACTAAAGATATTTTGCATTTTTGGAATTTGCATTTGCATTTGAACAAATATTTTCAATAATTAATATGACTGAAAATAAACAATGATTTTCCATCATGCTAAATATTTAGAAAGCATCGTAAAAATATAAATAGCTAATTTAATTCCTCACACTCCCCCCTCCCTCCCCGGCCTTCTTTATCGCCTTCCTCCTCAGAGGCCCAGTGAAGCAAGCCTATTGCTAAAAAACAGATGTAATATTACATTGACTCTGATTTAACATTATAGCTTTCTTCCATATATTATAGTAGTTTATCTCTACATGCATTTTAAATTTTTTTATTTTTATTATGGCACCGCACAGTTCTTCTTTTACTGCCACTTAGGAAAAATTGTCGTCAAAATGGCCCTCTTCTTAGACGTGCTAGAGGCCGAACGTATTGATCTTCTTCTTCGATGGGCACAGTGGAATCCTACTTTTTCTTATATAATCTTTTTGACTTCTCTGCACTCATTTTTAGTTGTGTAAAATGATCATCAATAAATTTTGAGATTTTTTGGTTTTGCTGAAATACTATACTCAAGGGAAGTCTGATAGAATAATTTGCTATGTTTTAGTTCTACATTTTTTCTATATTTTTCTTTGAAGTGTTAATGACAATGATAGGCAATCGCAATCATATTTGATAAACATATTCATTACAAAATTGCTTCATAAATTGTTGCTGTTGGTGGTGTAATTAAAATAATTTATGACTTGGTTTATTGTTGTGGAGTTTTCTTTTCATTGCTATTCAGTATTTTAATTTTAATTAGTTTTATAAATAGAAGCCATTTATGAATTTATTTATTATAAATTATTCTTAAAATAATTGTTGATAACAAATAATTTATCAGTTATGCAAGATATTTTATCAATTATACGACAATACAAGTAATTTCCATTTGAGTTTTAATCCTTTCATATAATTCATGAAAAATGCAACACATTATTAAAGGATCAACGAGGCAAAATGTTTCTCCATTAGCCCTTAATTAAATAGACTCAATGACAAATTTACGTATAAGCTATAATCCTTTGTTGCTTTCGAATTTAAATCATTCGATTAACTCAAAATTTATTTTGGATTTAATTTGAAATCTTGAATTTCTCTCAAAATTTATATAACGAAATAATTTTAATAAAATTTTCTATAAAAGATTACCAATTTTTTCCATATCATTTTATCATTCTATTCGATTCTTTAATAATTTTTATAAATTTACTAGTTATTCATCAAAGAAAGTATAAAAAAAAGGCTGATTGAAAAGAATGACTGCAAATAATAGAAATGAAACTATAAATATTAAATAATTTGCATTATTTCTCGCCTATTTTTTTATTCAAAATAAAAAGTGAAAAAAATTGTCTTTAGAAATTTTCAAAATGAGTTTCTCCGGAAAATAAGGATTTTCTACAGTCAAAAAATTGGAGCAGTTTGTGGTATGTACTTGTTATAGCAAAACTCGCACTTTTGGTCAAAAATGGGGGAAACAGATAACAGGAAGATAGAAGGAAATTAAAGTAAGTTGTGTAAAGCTCTTAAGTTCAAGGCTCGCCATTTTAAGCGCATATTTCTGTGATAGCCTATTAGTTCAATCTTTACGAATTTCAACTAATTTATAGACTTTTGGACTTTTTTAAACGAAAACCTAAGCAGAAACTACCAAGTCTTGGTTGATTTTATGTATAGACACTTCGATGTTTAATTCCTTAAGACAATTTAAATTTTGGTTCGAAAATTTAAAATTAAAATTTAAAACTTATTATTTTAGAATAGCTGCAAAATAAATCTTTTTAGTTTTTGTCTTGGAAGGTATCTCTGAAGTCAATATTGCTATATTTTAAATCTCATAATATTGCATAAAATTATAAGAAACATTTGTTATAATATTTTTATTGAACGAGTAACTTTAATTCAATACTTCATTTCAATAAAAATAACAATGGCGAATAGCGAAACAAGTGCCCTATGGGCAAATTTTCACTGATATAGGCCAGTTTTTGTTGCTTAAAGTCATTCTTATTTTCTATTCATAGAATATTGGTTTCTTTTCCAATAATCTACCTCCCATGTTGCTGAACAATAAGTTACATAAAGCTATTATATTTTGCGATAATTTTCATCATTTAAGAAATTTAATCGATTCGTATATTTAAACTCAACGAAATTTTTATTTTATTTTAGACCTTTCTGCCCCTTTACAGAGGCCTTTAGGCCTCTTAAATTTATTAAGTAAAATGAGAGCTTTAAAGCTCTTATTATTTCAGTTTATTTCAAATTTGCAAATTAAGGTATTTCGGATGGATGCATGATTATCATTTCCAATATTGTAGTTCAGCTTATTCTCCTGCCAGAAATAAGTCGGTCATTAGTAAATGGGAAAAGTGCTGGAAATTCATCAATACTTCTATAACCATGTGAACCTCTGTTAAAATTACTTCATTCTATTAAAAGCAAATGGAGAGAGCGTAATGAGAAATGATGAGTCATTTATCTGCTGAATACTTTGTAGATTATCGATAGCCTGTTTCATGTTTATCACATAAATGGATAAGCGCATATGATATGGGCAAGAAAATAGAGAGGTAAATATGAACGATAAAACCAGATACAATTTGGCTTTAAGACAATGGCTGAACAGCTATTTACTATTTTCTTTACTCGATACTATTTTCTTTAAATTTAACTCAATAAATTTTTGGATTAAAATGTTAAACTGTGGTAAAGTCATTCATCAGTCATCAGTCATTATTATTAATAAGTTTACTTTGATAAAACAAGAAGGAAATGACGAAATGATGGGTGAATTATATTGAAAGAGAAGGATGAAAATGAAATCATGGCCATCCATTTGCCATCCATTTGCAATAGTGCAGTACAGCGTAATATTTTTGAAAATTTATGATGTATGAATACGGCCAAACTAATGAAAAAAATTTACTTTAATCCTTTATTGGTTGTTTTTTTTGCTTTTTGCCTCAGAGCAATCTTTTTCTCATATTTTCTTTCAGCAAAATTTACCAGTTTCATAAATCTAACATTAACTATCTGTTTAATTATTTTTAATTCTTTTCATTTTTCAGTTAGTAGAATTAACACAAAATTATATCAATTTGTTAAAGTTTGACGATATAGACGGTTGAATTGAACAAGAAATGGATTTTTATTTCATCAATTTTTGATCATATGTTATTTTATACTATTTTAGATTCTCTTTGAAATTTGAGAATTTTTAATCCTTTTGGAATTGAACCCTTTTTGTTGATCGAAAAATATGGTCTTAAAAATTTGAGCATATAGATATAAACGCTGTTTCTACTCAATTGCTTAAATAAAAATTTAAATCTATTAAAATTAACATGCAAATAAATAACGATATACTAGACATATGCGAGGATAAAATGGTTCGGTGGTTTGTCACACTTATTTCTATGCTAAATTTGCTAAATTTTTACTGGCATTCTATTCTCGGTAAGAAAAAATCTGCATCTTCATATTTGTAGATGTATCTTCATATTTTTATCATTAAATAGTGTTTCTGGCAAAAATTGCCCTATCAGCGAATTGAACTTAACCAGAAATGGTGTATGCTCTTAGATTGAAAGTTGTTTCATCTTCACCTTTTTCCTGAACAACCATTTATTTGAAATGTTTAATGATGATTTTAGCATATATAAAAAATCTAGTCAGATAAAATGGGTGCCCATGTTTCAACATTAATCTATATTTGTCGAGCAATGATTTGCTGCAAAATAAAATAAAAACTATTACGACGATTATCGTACCCAACGATCAATTTTCAGAAATGTCCTTACTTCATGCCTTGAGTGAAAATGTGAAAAATTTTGGAACGAGCACAACGTAAGGGATTTTTTTGAAAAATTTTTTTCTAGTAACATTTTTTCTACAAAAGAATTATTATAGAACTATTATTTTGATTTATCAAGAGAACAAACAACCAAAAAAAGGAAAATAATAATATTTTGCATTTGGCTTTTAATTTTTTAATTCAAAACAAAATATTTTGGAAGTTCAAGTTTTTTTTTTGATTATTCATTACACATAATAATTGTCACCAGTTAAATAATAAGACCGTGTTGATCGAATAGGAATATTTTCTGATATGTCTCAATGATAACATAGAAATATCTAAACTATTACTAAAATTATTACTAGTTAAAGTAATAAAAACTTTTAACTAATAATAAATTACAAACTCAACAAATCCCTAATAAAATAAAGAATATTTAATCGGTAATCTTCTAATTTGATAGAAATTTTTTCATTATAATTGAATTCATAATTCATTTATTTGTTTTAATTTTATTCTAATAAATTCTAATAAATTCTAAATCCTATTTCAAAATTATACGATATATAAACTATTTAAGTGCTCATGGAATACCGCATGCAACAGAATCACACGGATTTCGCCGTTGCCTTTGGCTAATGGTACTTTGTTGTTGCCTTGGTGGCTTTATATTTCAAGCGGTGCTATTAATGGAGAAATTTTTCAAGCGGGACATAATTGTGAATATCGAAATGAAATTTGATCGGATAATGTTTCCAGCTGTAACCATATGCAATTTAAATCCATACAAAAACAGCCTAGTGGGATCGATTAGTTCATTGAAAGACACGGTATAAATTTATTAATTTCCAAGAAATCTGTAAAAAAAAAGCATAAATTATAAGAAAATTAAAATAAAAATAAAATAAAAATAAATAAATTAAATTAAAATTTGATGCTCTCTACAGTAAGAATGTTTAAAATTAGAAAATTTTCTGGTCAAGCTCGACTCGCTCAGTTGACTTACCAGATTTGTTTTGACAAGTGTCATTCTGCGATACGGATGAACTATCAAACCACCCGAGCAATAACCCACTGTGCCATCCCACTCATTAGAATTAGAATGATGAAAATATTAGTTTTTTTGCAAATTTTAGCAAATGTTTTATAAAATATTTTAGAAAAAATGATTTTGTGAGATTTCGTTTATGAATTTCATGGAGAATGCATTCTTCATATTGCCCAATTTTCAAATCAAATTTTTTGTTATAGATGCGTGCATTCGAATCCGCAATGAATCATTACAATAAAGATAAAAACTCACCAAGAAGCCGAATTAAAAGAGCAAATATATCAGACGAGTTTTCGAATGTTGTAGATTTCATTCACACAAATTGTAAACAAATAAAAGGTAAGTAGGATTTTCATTTTCGAAATGAATGTTAAAAAACTTCTAATAAGAAATTGCCGCTGTTGAAGGCCCATCTCTATCGTTGAATGGTAAAAGGATCAGCCTACATACTGAATTGTATTAATCAGTGGATTCAGCTAAGCCAGGAATGGAGAAGAAATTATTAATACTGATATGGTCTTAACTCTGAGCTACCAAGTGTTTTATCAAGAATATTTTGATCGACAGCAGATTACAGATTCGTATGTGATCGATCCTAATGGCAATAAAGATTGCGTTTGTTTGAATCACTATTCAACCTTTTGGAATTGTCGACCGCGATCAGAATGGAAATATAGTTATTGCAAATGCGATGATCAGAAAACGATTTGCCAGCGAACAAAGCATTCGTTAAATCTCGATATTCGTAATTCGCAGAAAAGAATGCAGTGCATTTGTAGTGAAGATATTTGCTTTGGCACTGACAATGGTATGGTACAAAACGCTTTTCTTATCAACTTTTATAGCTGATTTTTGTTAAACTGAAATTAGAACGATAAAATAGATACAATTCTTGAAAGACATGTAGTTTTATTGATGAATAATATTATTAGATAAGTAAAATCAATTGGTCATTGAGCAAGGTTAAAAATTTTTTGAATAGCCATCTCTATCTGGATTTTTTTAATGATAAGATAATAACGGCTTGTTTCCAAGACAAGGCAAAGAAAGCAAACATGATGCCCACATAATAATAATAATCTGAACCAATATCCACTAGGCTATCCTGTTAAATAACAAAAATTTTGAAACACCTAAGCGACAACATTTATCTGATACCAAAGATTTAACGTAAAAAATAAAAATAAGCCTCCTTTATTATAAAATTGAGCAAAATTTCATATAAACCTCGGGTTCGTGGACTCTCATGGAGAAGCAAAAGAAGTGAAGAACAAGAACATGGCCTTACTCTCCTGTATTCTTACTGTGATTGTGTTTCCATACAGAACTGTGATAGCATTAAAAACGCATCGAATGATAGCTTGTGTTTATGCATTTTAAATAGAGACAGTGGTGATATATGGCCTTGCTATTCACCAGAGACATGGATAGAGAAAAGGTCGGAAAAGAGAGAAAAATTTAAATTAATTTAAATTAATTTAAATAGTGCAAAATTCAACTAGAAAATTCAATATCACTTGCGAATAACTTCCAGAATTCTGAAAAGTCAGCAAAAATTAAAGAAATTTTTCTTTTTCCTTTATGTATGATTCTTTCTCACTCGCTATGGTCAACCTCAGATCGATTAGTAGAGACTTGAGAGATTGAGGGAAAGCAAATCAGCGTTTTTGCCTGAACATTCCTCCTTATCAAAAGATTTCTGGCCAGAATTCCACAAAAATTCACAATATTAGTGTGTCTCGAGATTAGGTATTAGAGAAGTGGTAATAGATAAGAAATCATCACATAATAGATAAAGCAAAACCAAGTTGCAGAAAAAGCAGGAAAAAGAAATATGACAAACCAGAAAAATACCAGGAGTTGAAAAAAGAACTAGAAAAGATGTAAAAAATGAAGACTATTGATAATAGAAGCTCTGGGGGCTGCAACCTTTAACCGGAAAAATGTCTTTAAAAGATTCCAGGAACAACACCACTAAAGGTCTCCATCCAAAAGAGCACACTGCAGGAACATCTTAGTCCTGCGCAGAACCCTTAGACTTCTGGCGAGGTTAAGAATGACCTATACCATCCACAAACGCTGAGAAAAAGATTGTTTTCTTATATATTTATACATCTAAGTAATGCATGGCTATTAAGGCGGGCGATTTATATGGAATGGTTCGAATCGCAACCAATCCTCGATGCATTTCTGGTGATGATCATTGGGTGAAACTCTCTGAAAGCCTATAAAGCCTCAATCTCCCAGGTCTCTGGTGGAGTACTCAAGATGGCCCACACCACTTACAGGGGATAAGAGGGAAACTTTCTAAGATAGAATATATCAAATCAGAGGATTTTATATCATTCTATCAATGTATGTTCCTATACTTAGATATTTCTTTAGATGCCATCGATGTTCAGCTTATAATGATTGCATTTATCCCTTAGATGATGGAGGGAAAATTTCATGTATTTGTACGCCAGTAATAAAGATGTGTGTTCGAGTTTATCGAAATGAAGAATTAACACTGACAGGAATTTTTGACGGAAATTTTTCGCTTAGCGAAAACTATACGACATCTTTGCCCCGAATAAAAGAAACGATTCCGAGAATATGGGATATATTTAAAGTTAAATCACCTGAAGAAGCTGAAGAAGTAAGAGAAGAAGAAGAAAAAAAAGAAAAAGCTTATGGACTTAAGGTTAGCAAAGAAAATTCCCTAATTAATCATAACTTTTCATTATAAATTTCAATTTTTTTAAGAAAAATCACTTTGTCATTTATCATTTTTGCTTGGATAAAACTAAGCTATCGATAGGGAATGAATGATGTGATGGCAATCAGAGCGAAGACTTCTGAGAATATCGTTTTTGCTATGAATAATTTGGATGATAGCGATAAATCATCAATATCACATGTTAAGGAAGAATTTATAAAAAAATGCTCATTCAATGGAAGAGATTGTTCAATTGAAGAGTATGCTTAGTAATATGCTAATAATATGTTAATAGCACCACAAAAAAAGGAAAATTGAAGACGATTTAAAAAAAATATTTAAATGAACTATAAATACTAAATTCCAGTTCATATAACATTAAGGTAGTAATAAAATGACTATTAATGACTATTAAATGAACCATTAAAAATTCATTTCTGTAAAAATGGATAAATGAAAAGAAGGGTTGATTGGTACCATCACTCGATTACAAACGGTTAGAGAAACAGGAAAATATTCATTTCTATGTCAATTTTGTGGAAAATTGGCTTATTGTAAGTTGCCATTTTTTTATTTAAATCATAAATATTTAGTTTCCTTTTAAAAATTCTAGTGATTTTGTTTCTTATATTGACCCATCATATGGTACTTGCTTTACGTTTCGAAAGAATTCAACTGATGCAATTATCGAACGAACTGGACGAACTTACGGTATGTTAGATATTATTGCACAAAAATCTATCCAGAATTCAGGATTGCGATTACAGCTTTTTGTTGACATTGATGAATATCTTCCGACAACTGATATCGCTGGAGCTCGTGTCGTGGTACATGACCAGTATGAACAACCATTTCCCGATTCAGATGGCTATAATGCTCCAGTTGGAGTTGCTTCAGCGCTTGGCATGAGAATGGTAAAATAATTTCATAATAATTTTTTAAGAAACGAAAATAATTATAATATGGTATTTATGGCTAAGTGATAGTTCAATAGCAAGATAATTGCTACTAAGAATCTAGGCTTCGAATCATGCGGATGCGCCACATTTCGTGGAGGGGTAATATCGCCTAAGGGAGGAAAATCAAAGGAGAATGGAATTGCTCAGTGAGTTGTTGTCCGATTCGGAGCATTGAGGCTCTACTTCCGACCGGAGAAAACCTGTATAAAAATTCAGGTGATGCTAGCGACTGCATTTCTATCGCCAAATAAAGCAAGGATTTCCTGGCATAATTGTCTGGTGCGACAAAGCAGAGGAGCGAAGAAAAGTTTAACCAGTAATAATGAGTGCTCTTCTAAAAAAAAATTAATGATAAGAATAAAAATAGTTTTAATAAGATGAAAATCTTATAAAATATTGACTTTCAAGCATTTTTTTGCATAAGAAATAGGTCAAATGAATTGCAGAAACGTCTGCAGAGGTTACCGCATCCATATGGTGATTGTATAGTGGATGGAAGAGATGAAGATTACATCTATAAAGATAAGAAATATTCAATTCAGGTGAATTGACTAAAAACTAAGACTATCGATAAGATATTAAAATATTGATAAGATGGTTTCATTTGCTTATAACTCATATGAACCAAATTATATTGCACGTAGATATAGAAGAATGGCTTACTGGTCTGTTATTTCACTATAAAGTTGCTAGAATTCTGCTCTCCGCAGATTTTCAGAAAATCGAGTGAATCCTGCTATTTAACTAATTATGCTTTTCGCCAATATTTTAATTGAAAAAAATACTGTGCATTCGATATTTAAAAATAAAAACAAAATAATAAATTTATCAGTATGATTTGGTTGATTCGATTTATATCTGGCTCTTCGATTTTGATATAAGTAAAGTTGTTAAGAAAAAATCTGAGTGGTGCTGATGGCCTATCTGTTCTTCTATCGTCAAGGGTCTCCTTGACAAAAATTTCTGGCAGTACTAATAGCTAGATGAATCTAGCCAGAAATGGTGAAGCTGACTTCATTTATTACAGAGGTGAGGCATTTGTAAGCCTCTCAGTCTTCTTGCATTAGCCTGATAAAAGAAATCATTCCTTTTTCCAACGCTAATTACCTTTATCGGCCACGTAATCGTTGAAATGCTTCTTGGCGTAATCCGTCGAATGCGAGTTTATTTTGGTTTTTGATGCTGTCAGCCATAGTATGTTGAAACATACGATTATGCCCGATGATCATTGGTTTATCACCTCAGCCGAAAGTATCTGTGACGATAACGTTTATTCATGCTACTTAAGCTAATGAACAAAATCAACCAAGATTTTATTGGTACATCTATTAATATGCTTAATGGTCGAAAGAAGATAGATCTTAGACTTCTTATTAACTCTTCCACTCTTTAAGCCTTATATAGATTTAATTCTTTCATCAATCATGTTTATACAGTCTTGTATAGATTTCGTGTAATAGTTGAAAATCTTCCTTTTTTCTTCTCCCTGAAGATATTAAAAGTATTAAGAAAAGCTACTTTAAATACTGCGTTAAATTGTGGTGCAAATTAATGAATTTATTTTGATTGAAAGAGCAAAGGACATTTGAAATTATAGGGATGTCTAAGAAGTTGTGTTCAAAAGTATTTAGTGATGCAGTGTACCTGTGGAGATCCGAGATTTCCAAAATATCGCGACTATGATAATTGCCCAGTTGACGATCCCGATTTAAGTAAGTTTATACATTTGTAATGTATTCGTTGCATTTCGCTTAGTCCAAAGCAATTATCTGGACTGAAATTTTTCTTAGCGCCATGATTCTTCGCTTGTCCTAACGAGGAATATTACATTTCTACAACTTTCCAGGAGAATGTCTCGAAAAAGAAGTGAAATATACTGCACAAAATGCGGATAAACTCGGCTGTGTTTGCAAACAACCATGCAAGTAACAATTAAGATTGATGAAATTTTTTACTCTTCCATTTTGAAATTAAAATTGTTTGGTACTCCTCATAATTGTAACGAGTCTTTTAAATTTTCGAGCCTTTTTCTAAATGTTAGAAACTTTTCATGAAATGATAATCAGATTAGCAATTTTTTTTCTTTTTAAAGATTGATGTAAAATTATTGAAGCCAAAAATTAAAGCTTTGTACTAATTATAGACAAGATATTTATGTAGCGTCCTATTCAGCAGCTCTTTGGCCAGCAGGACCTAAGGCTCTTACAGATTGTCCAAGTGGAATGGATAGTAAAGAGTGTTTGGCATATTTTCGTGAGGAATACGCACTTATTGAAGTTTTTTACGAGAGTCTGAATTATGAAAGATTTTCAGAAGGAGAAGCTTATGGAGTTGGTTTCTGATGTTTTTGTTTTTTTCTTCCTTTCTTCCACTTATAGAAGTGCCATTTATAATAATTATTTCGATTTCAGATGCCGAATTTGCTTTCGGATTTTGGTGGCCAACTGGGTTTATGGATGGGTGTTAGTGTAATAACGATTATTGAAGTCGCCTTGTTAATAATCGATCTTTTTTTTGCAGTAACTCGATTTTTTAGTGAAATTGGAGCAAAAATGGGTAAGGGCAAGCCAAACGGAATGAATCTTTAATAAAAGCTTATATTGCAATCAATTATTGTTATCAAATTGCGTAACGGTATTTAAATAATTTTGGCTAAACCCTTCAATTTTTTCTTCTCTATTTATCTTCGTTATTATTATATGTGATTTTTCTTTTAATTAAAATATATGAACGTAAAGATATCTGTTAGAATAATAATATATGTGCAATTTTTAAAGATGTTTGTTCCAAAAGATTACACGCTTGAACGTCAAATGATTCGCTGGTGAAATTTATTTGGTCCAACAAGCCAGCGAAATAATCTTATGGACTTGAGCGCTCGTACAGACTTAAAAAATGGTTGAATTATATCATTTTATAAGCTTAGAATGTCATGCACTCGCAAACTAGTGTAACAAATTTAAGATCCGCGATGCCTTGGATTAATGATAATCGATTCGTCTTCGGATCTGACCACGAAAGACTGAAATTTTCATCTCCTACACGCAATTGTGCTACTCAATCCTCTATCCTACATTCTTACTAAAACTGTTAGTCTTTGCCATAAGATTTTCCTTTTAAGGCTTTTTGGATTAAGGAAAATCCAATTTGTTCCATGAAAATATGCTTGTATTCTTATTGGTTGGGCCATTTAAGCCATATAAAACTGAAACATGCAGAAGAAAAGTTTCATTAACAATAAACCATTTGAACCTTCTTGCAATTCCTCTTCAAGAGAAGCATTATGTTATTATTATATATTTTTTGAAACATTATTGAATAAATAAGTCCATATGTTCCACCAGCTGTATAAATTTTTTATTATACAATATTTCGATTCGGTGTATTCTTTTTTTTTTGAGAAATTCAAGAAATAAAATTATCTTATTGGTGGTGGAAGTGGGATTTATGGAAATTAGATGTCGAATTTGGCTTTCATTTTAAATTTTTGATACCGATTTTCAATTTCATATTATTATCGCTATGCCATGAATACAGTGAATATATCAAATGTAAATAATAAGTGTAATAAAAGAACTATCGTAGAGAAACTATGGTAGTATCAAGTCAGTGCCAGTTAAGAATTATTACCAACCATATGACTGGTACGAAACATGCTTCTTCGTTGGCTGTCTTATAGCCAAATGATAAATAATAGATAAAATGGATGTAGTGATTTTTTATTTAAAAAATAAACATTGTTCCTTCCTTACGAACATTGTTTCTGATAGTTTTGCTAAAACAAGGCTTCAGTAGAATACTCTTGCGACCTTAATTTTTTCGTTCAGCTGTTGGCCACTTTTATTTGCCATAGATTGAGACATTTGCCACGATGCTTTTGCCATTTAATACCAATTTAAGGAAGCAGATGGCTCATGAAATGTCATATGATATACATTTTATTCGTGTGCTGTTTCATGTGCAGTTGCAGTTAATTGTTGTGAAGATTAATTTCAATCTATTCACATCACTTTCGATACTTTTTGTTTAATTGTCACTCGCAGTTTTCTCGCCAGTAATCATACTAATACTTTATTTTCAATATTTATTTTAATACATTAAATGTGTTGTATTGGCATTTTCACCACTAATCTACTTATTTCACAATCATTCCTCAGCGCTATATGTACGAAATAAAAATTTCCGAACAATCGGCTGGTATTTATTTACTGCATTTTGTGAATCTGTGGATATTCTTGCATTCTCTTAAAAAAACCTTATTTTGAGAGACTGCAACTGCAGACTGAACATTTGCCAAAATGAGAGTAGAGTGGCAGTCGTTTGTTGCACAGTTCAGAGCGTTGTTGTTGAAATTCTTCTCCTTACAGGAATACATCTAAGTGCGATTAGCAAATTCTAAGAGCGGCGCACCATCTGTGTTTAACTTTGCTCCGCTACTATGTCACATCATATAAATCTTCCGAGGACGGTAGAATTATCAGTGTCACTTAAAGTATTATTGGTACCAGTCTGATATTAAGTCGAAATTTCTTTCTAGTACCACTAGTTTCCCTCAAAAATCCACTCTGATTTTTCTAGGATGATTCAACGAAAATACTACCTTCATTTGGATCTAAAATAATAATTTATCAATTTATTCAGTGAATATTTCAAGAAATATATTTCTACCAATATAATTTAAAACATTGTTTTGACCAATGAACAAATAATTTCATTAAAATAAACTTTTTCAAAACCTTTAGAATCGGTACCAATGTCAAGAATTTTCCCTCTCGAACGGAACGGAACTTTAATACATTGAACCGTTGAAATTTTTTTTAATGCAAATTTTTATCTTAGAATTTTTGTTTTTTTGCTATTTTGTTGGCGCAGCCGTGGCTTTCTTTAAATTATCATTTTTATGTTTACAATACTAAACGCTGCTATTATATCGATTTTATCAATTTTTTAGATAATCCGTTTTATCTTTTCGATATGAATGATAAAAAAATCGAGAACTTTTTCGCTATTGATCGCATTCAACCAGTAATTGATTTAATTTACTTACAATTCCATGATTATTATGATTATCAGTCAATTATCAATAATAACGCATAAAATAATAGAAAATAGTTAAAAAATAAAATACTTTAAGATCTTCGATAAAATCAAATCCACGAAACAAATGTTCGGTAATTATATCTTTTCGAATAAAATAGATTCGACTTTAAACTGTCTTCATCGTTATATCCGTCCGAATCAACATGGCAAATACCATCCATACAAATATGAGTATATGAATAATTGCTGATGCGATGATATTTGTAAGTTTCTAGCTTAATCTAACGTTTAAAATTGTTAAAAATTAAGCAATTTCGAATGAAAAATCTATTTTTCATCTTTTGCATTTTAATAATTTTTATCAGAAAAAAATTATTGCTTTACCTTTTGTTATTTTTTAAGTAATAAATAGATTTCATAAAATTGAATTTCGTCTCATATTTCGCTAACTTTTTAAAAATCTATAACTTTATTATGATTATTTATCTTCGAAAAAAATTTTTAAGATCGTACCATAAAAGTGAATTCTATGCACAAATCTAAGTAGAGATTACTTATGGTGTAGTACAAGCTGAAAATTTAATCCTATGGTTTTGATCAAAAAAATACAGCCGAGATCAAAGAGATTGATGAATACAGAATAATTTAATCATCCTTAAATAGTAGGAAAGTATCTGACCCTTTCACCATAGAGTCACCTGGGGACACAATTACTAGTTCATCCCCAGCTGCACCGAATTTTTGATACGTCTTACTCTTGTAGCTAGTGCAGTGAGCCTAACTAGTAATAATGAGGACTATAAGAAGAAAAAATGGGGAAGTTTGTCACAATTCGATTTATAGACAGATGAATTGCTGTCAACCAGTAATATAGATGTTATGAAGTAATATAAATATAGATATTAGAAGATTAGATTTATCCAGTTTATTCTACTTTTATATGCTTATATCCTTACTAAGGACTTCTAGCAATCAATGTGCCGAATTCGTGATGGTCTGATGGCTCAATTACGTTTTATTTTCTATTGAAATCCAGGATGCCTGATTCTTCTCAATAGCAAAAATTATTTCAATAAAAAATATCACACCTATTGGTTTCTTTTACAGGAAATACGCGTCATATAAATGTTAAAAATTCAATTTCCATTTGTATTATTTCAGCCTGTTAAAAAATCTACAGTCTAAGTTGCAAACTATAATCTAATATAATATAATCTAAGTTGCAAGCGACTTAATAGCTAATTGGACAGCTAATCTAATCATTCAATGAACGACTAAGAAAATCTTTCTCGAGATGATTTGCGACTATGGAACTCTACTTCATAGTTGTGCATTTAGAATTAACAGATTAACAGATTAACAGATCGCTTTTTCTATCCGAATAATAAGAATATTTTATTTGCCTTGTTCATTATATAGATTTTCTAATAAAATAATAAGGCTTTTAAAAGGCGCAAAATGGTTGTAATATGAGATAAGAGGAAAATGTAAAAAACTGTGGCCTTTGTGGTGAATTGGTCGCATTTGCTGAATGTCTCATTCGGAAATAATCTATTCAATTGATGGGATCAAAATAATGCTTAAAATTTTATTTAAAAGTTTCTTAATGAAATTTTGTTTTCCATAATTTATTTATTTTCTTTATTGGCCGAAAGGAAATCATAGGCTTTTGTTGAATATCTGATGTTGAATTTCCGTGGACCAAATAAGGAAATCATCGTGTCGTTAAAGGAAATATCACCAGATGGTCGAAGCGAGGATATTATCCGCAAATCGAATTATCTAAAAGAAGCAAAAGAATGACGAGACTTTTCGTCAAATTCAGTGGCATTACCATCAAACAAGTCCGACTCAACCACATTAGGAATGAGATATCGTGGCAGAACTGGAAAAGAAGATTAAGAATCACCAACGGTTGGACCAAAAGAAAATTCGACTGTTAGTTGGACTATGAACGAACCTATTGACTGGTTAAACATTTCACGAACATCTTTTGACTTCTACCTTTGGGCACCTGGTTATTATATGGTTATTATCTATAGGGGTCAATTGCTCGAAGAAGCGCAAATTTGACTTTGTGCCGGTTGTTAATTTTATGTCGTACACGAACTGCTTCAGATTTAACAATGAAGATAACAATAACGATAGCAAAAAGAAATAGCATAGAAGAGAGGTACAGCAAACGCGGCTCACCAGTACATGGTACATTCATAAATTAAAATTGAAGTTTTAGGACCGATTTAGAGAATATCCAAAATTTCCATAACATAAATGAGCTACAATAACGCATTTAGATTTCATTACAAACGAATTTTAAGGAATTTCTCATTTCTTAGAAAAATAACTATAAGTAAGTAAGTAAGTAATATATTTTATATTTTATTTATTATTATATTTTTTATCGAAATTCATTTTAGTTTTTTATAAATATTTTCTTATTAAATTCAGAGAAGAAAGAAGAAGAAAATTCATAGATGAAATTCAACCGACACATTTAAAAAAAAAAGGAAAAACTTTTTGGCAAAAAAGTTTCATGAAAATATTTTAATATTATTTTAATATTGCTATTATTTTAGATTTCACCATTAAAATCAATATTCTTTCTTTTGAATTTTTTGTTGAAAAAAATTTTACAAGCAAAAAAGGAAAAAAATTCAAAAAGTTTTTCCAAATATTTGCATTTGTATTGATGTAATAATTAAATTATATGATAATCAAAATCTCGAAAAGAATTATAGAGAATTTGTTCCGATAAAAATAAAATATTTGCAAAAATATATTCATCAAAGCAAAGTGATGATTAAATAAAGCATAAAGTTGGGCTGGAGAATTTTTGAAAAAAAACATTAGAAGGCACTTAAACTATTCAACTCACAATAGTGAAGCTTCTGTAAATTGCAAAAAAAAAGCAAAATAGCAGAAAGAAAACAAATCAAATTCTGCAGCGATAAAGGGGAAGTTTATTTTTACAAATTCATAAAATCTAAGACATATTACATATAAAATTCTTCTCAGTCTATCTATCAGTTTTTTGGTGCAATTTTTGGTTTAACTAGCTCCATTGACTCGTTGCCAGAGAATCATATGGGAGTGAAAGAACTGATGGTTCTCCATCATTCAAATTTCACTTTTAATGACACTTTTAATAAAGTTTACTCCCGTTAAGGGGCCAAAAATGAATCGCAGCACGATTCAATTACTCATTTTATGCAAGATTGTCACAATTATATATTTACATATCTTGAACAGAAAAATCTATTCGTAATCATTTATATATTCATAAGAAATTTACATAAAATATCAAAAAAATGAAAATAACACCAAATCCATGTAATTTAATTGCCGCTGAAGTCATTTTATCGCCATATTTATCCAGTAAGTCTAAGATTACACCATTAGTCCATCCGAATCCTGTCTAAAAAAATCAAACGAAAAAATTTGTCAAAACTTAACTTATAATTTGCAACAATTATTTTTGAGAATTTTTGGTAATTTCAGACTAATAATTAAGAAAGCAAGCGATGGAACTCACCTGAACTTCATATTCGCCTCCTGAACCGCCACTGGTTTCTTCAATAAGTGCAGATACATTATATTTTTCAAACATAGAATGTGTTCGTATATATGATTTGTACGTTACAGCCAGCCATTGAGTTGCCATTTTTTCAGCAGCCTAAGAAAAAACATTGAAAGTTTAGTTTCTAAAATGGCAACATCTAATCCTCAACTTTGATTCAAAAATAAGATTTTCCTTAATATGAATTGAAAAAAACCTGCATGAGTTCCGGTTCGCCTGTGGTTCTGAAACCCTCAATAACCATATGTACCATTGGTGGCCAAGCGTTTTCCTTATCCCATTGCTGCTCACTTCCCATTGCTAGTGATGTTGGCAAGCCTTTTGTAAAATTTAAAATACCTTCTCTCTGAAAACATTAATCATTAATTATAAGGAAAAATTGGTTAAGGACTTTTTGATTAGAAACTGGTTACTTTTCTGTTTTAATTTTTTTCAAACAAAATAATATCTATTTAATATCTATTTAATAATATCTATTAGAGCCATATAATAAATATTGTAAAATTTTTCAAAATCACCTTAAGATATTCATAGACTCTATGTGGAACAACGTCATCTTCATCATAGCATTTTGCATAAAGTGGTAGAGCATTAGAGACATAATAAGTATTTGAATGCAACTAAAAGAAAAGAAAAATAACAATAATTTGATAAATTAAGAACCTCCTTTTACTTGACATTAAGTTTCATTAAACTTAGAACAAGAATTTTAAAAATATCACTTGATTTTACATTTACCTTTGAATCAAGATCATAATCATACCAAATACCATCAGTTTCATTCCAGTGCATTTCTTTCATTGCAAACTTTGCTTGCTCATAACGCGCTTGATATAATAAGACTTTGGTGAAATTTCCTTAAAATAATTGAGTTATTAAGGAAGGTAATTAATCATATTAAAAACCAATATAATATAATCATGCTATGATGCTATGACGAAATCTTCGACATTCCTTACGGTAAATGATTAATAAAAATCTGATCTATGATTATGAATTAACCCGTTATTTCAAAAAGTGCTGCAAGTATACGAGCATTTATGCACATAAATGCATTCAAATCGACAGGAACAATAGAAATAGTCCGAATAGATTTCATATGATGCATTGATGGGCCACTCTGAGCAAACCATCTCGTACTAAAATCCCAACCAGTTTCTGCTGCTGATGCCACATTTGACCACATTAGCTCTCTCTCGGCTGCAAGAATAACAAAGAATGACAAAGACAAGAAATTTTTCTTTGTCTCAAAGTGATAATTAGCAGCAGATAACTGCCAAGAATATTTACTTATATTTAACAAATATTTACAATTAATTAATTAAATATTTCTATCAATCAGAGAGATACTGAGTAATTCTACCTTTTGTACTAAGATTTTTAACTAAATCCATATCTTCTCGATAAGATTCTGGTCGTGGTGTTTTCATGACAGCGCGATGTTGAAAATAAACAAAATTTTCTGATTTCTCTTCATTATAGAAAGATCCAGCGCGATTTAAAAGCCAAAAGTTATACTCCTTTTCGAGTATAGGCAGAATCTAAAATTAACAAAATTTTGCTGAAAAAAAGAAGGAAAACTAAATTTAAACTTCGTCAAAGGCCACAGAAAAATATGCCATGAAAATATTGATGCTAAATTTCCTATTAAAAGAGAATAACTTAAATCATCTAACGTAAAATTCATTATATTATTGACTTTGTAGAACTGAAAAAGAACTAACCTCTAAAACAAAATCCAAATCGCCCGTGGCTAAATAATATTCATAAAGCATAGGAGAGAGTAATGGAGGTTGAGATCTTATCAAATAATAAACACGACCACCATTCGGAACGAAACCATGACTAAATTGAAGTTTTGTTCTAAATTTTGACCAATGAAGCAGTTGATATATTAAAGAAATAAAGGATGGATACTCCTTCAAAACCGAAGAAATAAATAAAACAAAGGATGAAGAATACATATTCGGATAGATATATTTGAAAAAATTATTCATAATTTTTTCTGACAGCTTTCTACAAATATGAACTTAAAAGACGAACAACTGAATGTGAGTAGTATTAAATATAATAAATGCATATTACGTGCCTGTTTTTTTTTTCTAAAAATACTAACTTTGGCTTCTCTGGACTAGATAAATTCTATTAAAATATTATTCGGCGATAGACCTATAGGTGGACCGCCAGCATCACCCAGATTTTTGGCTCTCGGAAATGATAGCAACAATTACAATTGAGCCATTCTCAATTCCCATTTTCCATTTTCCCGTTAATATGTTTATTTATTTATTGGAAACCACCAAGCAGGGCGACAACGCCATGTGCTCGTATTAATAACAACAGTTAAAATAACAAATAATAAAAATTAATAAGAAGAGAAAAAAAGAAAATATGACAAAAAAATTAACAATTTAAACAGAAAATAAAGACGAAATTATAGAATAATATAATATAATACAATTCGAAATATATATATTAATCGGATGGTAAAAATTGAGATTTCCAAAATTGCTTCCTACATGATGTGAACTTTTTAAATAATATCATAAATGATAATATATAAATATTACTATATATAACTGAAAAAAAAGATCGTTTTTATTATTTCGAAGATTTTGTTATTTTTATTATTTGAAGCCGTTAGATTTCACGCAGAAATAAAGTTGACTTGTTTTCCAAAAAAATGCGATCGACATTTTTAATGACTCTCTAGCAAGATGCCTAATCAAACAAACTAACCTAATCAGAAATAGTGAGCGCACTTAGAAAAAAAAAGTGTATATATGAATAACCATAAGCGAAATAAAAAGCGAAATATAAAAATCAGCCGATTTCTTCCTTCTATACTCCTCATTCTATAGGAAAATCTGCATATGCTCTCTTCTCTGAATCGCCATGAACACTGATGAATTAACTGATCCACTCTATATTACCATGGCAGATGACAATTAATTTTTATTAAATTAATAACTAGAAACACGATAAACAGAAGGCAATTTTTTGCTTTCGCTATTCGATGATAGATTACTTCAACTCGCAATAAAGCTTGAACAAGGTCAAACTAAATTGTTTTAAAACCAGTTTCGTAGTTAAAACTGCTAGAAACAATAAGATATAGGTATGACTTTGGTTCAAATTAAAAATTTATAAATTCTGTTTTACGCTTAATTTTCTTAGTCAGAAAGAAGAATGTAACCTAAATCTCAAACTCCCGAAATCCTCTCTTATTTTGAAATCCCCTTAAAATGCATTCTGGAAAAAACTTCCTCAAATCCCTCCGAATTCTTTCAACAATCCACCAAACTCCAGAATATGAAACTCGTCCGATTCACACCGTAATATTAGCTAACTGCATTATACTTTTCTTCAATCCTTGCAAAATCTCAAAATCACTTCTTTAACATTTACGATATATAAGAATGCAAAAAATGATAATGACAGAAAGCAACAAAAAATGGAAGGTTTTCAGAGAAAACATTGTAGATACGAAAATAAATGAATATAGAGCAACAGAGTTCCAAATAATGAAGGAAAATAATATATTTCGAGAGAATATCAAGAAGTGCCCGGTTCTGTCTGCCCGCACAATAATGTATCTTTTCACTAAAATAACAATAAATACTAACTTTTCGACCATATAAGCCAAATTTCTTATAATCCCTTTTGCTGTTTCTTGCATTTCTGAGAAAAGAAGACCTTTTAATATCCAAAACGAATCCCTGTATTAAATGTATTAACTAAGGAATTGATTCAAATTTTAAATCATATTTAAATTTGGTCTAACTTTTAAAACAAAGCCGAAAACTTACCAATAATAAAATTCACGAAAACGTCCACCTGGAATGATAAATGGATGAGGCACATAGAGTAAGGAATAAAGCTCTTGATGCTGTCTAACATCATCTTTTACCTACAAAATGGGGAGGATAAAAGTGGACAGAATAATTCATTATTGCCATTAAACAAATTTAAAAATTTCGATAAATAATTTTAAAAATCGAAATCGAACTTTCCTACAAAGATCACGCCAAATACGATGCAAATGAAGTGCCCATCTACGAAGTTTATAATCTTGAATTTTGAGAAAGCTGGATGGGAAAGCATCCCAGTCTTCTGGATAATATTCAACTAGTTCCATGCCAGGTTCATCGAAATGTTCGTCAACGAACTGTCTTAATATTGAAAGATTCTTTATCTTGTCTCCTAGTTGATAAAAATCTTTCAAAGTCGAAACTGCAAAAAAAAAAGTAAATTTATGAATGACTTTGAAATATTAATGAATTACTAACCAGGATCGATTTTAAGTGGCATATCCACAAAGTATTTAGAATCAGAAAAGAGATTTGCATCTTGTACAGATTGCAGTATTGGTCCTTGACAATAAATTTGACTTGAAATCAAAATTATTATAATTTGAAAAAAATTTTTATCATATCATTGCCAATAAATTATCAATGATCAACACATCATTATCAACATTATCTATACATATTTTTAAAAACATATTTTGTATTTTCCTGTATTTCTTTATAAATTAGCCACTAATTTAACTGAATTGCTCGAACATCCCATTCAGAAAATACTAAACAGTCTTATCAACTTCTTATTCACTAATAATATTTTTCCTTGCTTTTTGTCTCAACTTCATTCAAATTCATTCAAATTGCTATCATTACTCTTATCGCTTTTATAAAACCGATATTACTGCTGGAAATAATAATTTTTACATCTAATTGTAACAAATATAAGTAAGTAAAGGATGAAAATTACCTGAGTAAGGTTATAACATAATAAAGCATTTTGTTATAACAAACAATTCAGCCAAGCACTAAAAAATTTTTCGGCCCAAATTCAGTGGCAAATATCGAAAATTATTGCACAGCCATAAATAAATAAATCTCTATAAAATTCATTAAAAATTTTCATATAGTTGTCCAAGAAAAAATTGATTTCCTTTAGGAAAAAATATCAACAAAATCAACGAATATAAATACAAATTATTTGATAAATAAATATTACAATTAATATTAAAAGATATTGATAACAATATTGAATACTATTTTGTACATTATGTTAATAGTAATAGCAATATTTAAGAATGTAATGTTAGTATTGGGACAGAATGGCTGAGTGGGTTGTTGCTCAATTCGGAGCGCCGGTGCTGAGGCTCGATTCCCCGCAGGAGTAAACCTTCCGAAAATCCGGGTAGTGCTGGCGACCGGCCCTGTACTTCTATCGCCAAGGGACTCCCTGGCATATCGCTCAACTGCGAAAAGCCAACAGAGCGAGTATAACCAGTGATGGCGCGGACTCTCGAAAAAATAAATAAATAAATATTAATACTTCATAAAAATTCAGAAAAAAATGGCGTAAATAAAAGAAAATGATATTTATTTGCACTAAATGTATACTTGCACTAAGCAAATAATTAAAATAATGACGACGTTTTTGTTGAATTTCTCAAAAATTTTAAAATTCAAACAATGACCTTTGACTTCGAACTGAAATAGAAACAGCTTCGGGGAGAATTGTAAAGGATTATTGTTCGTATATAAATTAAGTACAATGCTTAGGGAAAAAACTTATAACAACTTAATTATTAAATTACTAATAATAAAATTTTAACTTGTTTTTTATAAAAAAATTTTTTCAAAAAAAGAGACATCTGGTTCTTAAAAGGAAAGGGATTTATAAGAATAAGAGCACTATAATTTCAGGATTAGATAACGAAAACATTCTTATCGAGGCGCAGCGCTGGATTTGAAGTTTCTCTTGCTCGCGGAGGTTGAGGGGTTTTCGTGGGCCCCGAGGATCAGATGAACGAATGGGGCCACAGTGTTAAGCTATTTCTCTCTTGGCTGGCTGATCTATTAAGATAAATGTAAATATTAGCAAACATCACTTCACAGATCATTCTGCTATTATGATGTGTCGTGGTTGGCTTTTGCTATAATTTCCACTGCAAAATAGAGATTAACACCTTCATTGCAATGATTAGAAGCTTCCTTTGCTCGGAAATGAGAACTTATTCATTGACCGGATGAAAAGCGAACAACTGTATTTCTGTGTGATATCCTTTCATTTCTGTTCTCCGTTGACCGCTCTCTTCGGAAAGAAATATCCACCCATCACTCCACCGAATATTGAATATACCTCACGACTAGATTTTGCTAGATGACGCACTCTAAAACACAGTTGTCAGGTTAAAATGTACTTTCATTCTCCCATAAAATGTACTAAAATGCGGGCTGTTGACACAAGATAATGCTTCGACCCATTCAGCACGTCTGCCAGGGCGTCGCTATTTGAACACTGAGGTTTTTTGTATTTCAGTCTTATGTTAGGTGGAATATCAACGTAAAAAAAAATTTGGAGGTGAAAATCGCCCTCAATTTTGACACCAACAATGCATCGCGCAGCACAAAGGCAAGTAAACAAAAATAAACAGTATTAATATAATTAAGTAGTTATATTACTTATATTTTCTCAGTCCTAGATGAAAAGGTGGAAATCGAGAAAATCGGAAAATAATAGAAATAGTAGAAATTTTAATTTGATAACGTGTTGGCCAATGAAAATTCATGTTGTTTAAAGAAAATGTGGGTTTATTATAAATTAATACAAATTATGAAATAAAAATTATATTTTATATCTTTATAAAAATAAGTATAAAAATTATATTTTATATCTTTATAAAAGTAATCTTATTTTATATCTTTATAAAAGTAAGTATATCTTTATAAGCAAATAAGCCAAAGCAATATTATGAATCGTTCGAAATGTCCGCGCGATTGGTGCTTATTTATTTTCATTCAACTAGGCCATATGGAAAATGAAAAAGGAGTTGAATTTCTCTGATTTCTCATGTGATAAAGAAAGGCCGTCGGCCGGTTAATATTGGTTAAAATGTGCACTGAATGGTGGAATTCACATTGGTACCATTTTGTTTCATCGTTTGCTGAAAGATAATTTTCTGGTTGAATAGTGTGAAGATTACAATTATGGAATTAATATGAAGAGAGTTCACCTAAGGTTCTTTCAGAAAAAGTGAAACGATTTCTCGAGGACTGTCGTCTATTATCACTTGCATCTTGAATTAATGCTAAGTGCAGTTTCTCGAGGTTTTTGATCCCGTTTTACGAGTGTGTAATGTTTTCATACCTTTAGCTCGAGTAAAGTTGAATGAGCAGTTCCAGCTATATTTCATATTTTAGCTTGCGATCGTTAAAAGTGAATCGTAAACATGAAAAAATTGTCAACATAAACGATATGCTCGAAAACTGGTTTTGACAAACCGCACTTTGCGAAATTTTTCGATAAAAAATATTCTATTAAACATTCGTTGCCAATAAGTGCCAATACTGTTTGGACTCATCGAATTCATCGCTATTCATTCGCCAGGTTCACTCATTATTTTCATTTGTTTTTGTTACGATTGCAATTAAAATTTTGTAAATTATATTTTGTTTTTTTGCAAATATTCTTGGATAATCCGTATAATGGAATTTATTCGATATTTATTTTTCCTTTTCACATATCGTTTCATCCGAATTTCCAAAAAATTTTTGCAGGAGTTCTAAATAATAAGAAAGTAATAAGCTTAAAGCAATTCCGAAAAATTTCTTTCCATTTATTCATTCATTCAACTTTATTTGAGCAGAAATTTGAGCAAAATGCATGGTTCAATTTTTTATGCACTCATTATGCACTGGTATATCAGTATTATAATTCTAAAGTTCGCGAAGCTGAGCAATTCGAGCATCGACTCAGCTGGATTCGCAGCTTTTCATATTTCAGAACTTCAGAAAGAACTGAACCATGCATGAGTTCTGATACGTTCAGTCGTTCAAATTTAGCAAATTTTTTTTGTGGCCTTGGAATATAAAATAGTTTTTTCCCGAAGAAATCGCACCAGCTTCTTTCCCTTTTTCTCTTGCCTGTTTTCCAAGGCTTTTTCATTATCACATCGATTTTTTGATCTTTTTTAGAGCTTTTCCTTATGGCTTAAGCCACCACTTTTATAATCCTTCAATTTTTGAAAAGCTGCGTGGCTGATTGCGGAAATTATTGTCACAGAGGCTTTTAATAACGAAAAAAAATGTGTCATGTAAAAATATGTAATTTGCAAAAATATTTTAAATATTATAAATATGATTCATTATTAAATTTATTTTGCATAAAATTTTAATATGAATGCACTGTGGTGAAAATCCACTACCATCTTTTAAAAGTTCTTAATAAGTTAAATTTATATTAAATAAAGCAAAACAGAACCGCTAACTTTCAATTTTTTAAATGAGCCAACGATATTTGGTTTTAGACGATGGTGAATGGTAAAAGACATGGCTTTTGCTACTGTCAGATGGTATCGGATTGAACATTTGGAAAATGGTCCTTAATGGTTCTTTTATCCTTATAGCCAGCGGTGCCAGCCGTGAGAAATAATGGCGACAGCTGTTAGAAAAATTTTTTTTAGCTGTACACAGAAATACTTCTTTGAAAAATTTTTTTCATTAGCTTTTCCCATCCACCAATATAAGATTAAATGAATTTTCAATTCCTTCAAGAAAAAGATGCATTTTACAAATTTTAGCCAAGATGCGCCAGAGCTGCACCATCGTGGCCGCTCATTTATCTTCTAAATTTTGCTGAGAATTATCACCCGTCGTTCCTTTCAATGATTAAATAATTTCATTGCTTTCGTACTATACTTAATATTAAACTAATTTATTATGAAAAGACCGCAATAAAATACATATGTACATAATAACCTTATTTTTGCGTTTTTTGAAAATCATTTTCATTTTATAATTTCATATATTCATTTTTCATATTTCATATTTTTATTATACAAATTTTAAATTTTATATATTTATTTAGATTATTTGAAATTTTATTTTCTAAAAGTCCTAAATGCCTGTTTAAGTTACAAAATTAACTCTCAAAAATTACAGAAGTATAGAAGTGGCTGGTGCTTTAGAAAAATTATTTAATGGAACGGAGTTAACCATATTTCCAGAAATGATTGTATTATACGAAATATGAATGCATTTGTTTGTGTCCATGAATGAACAGTGAAATGTTGTCTGTATAGAGTTACAAAAGATTTCTTTATCTTTTCCACTACACAGTTTGCTGGATTACTTTCAAATATATCATATAATGAAAAATAAGAAGGAAACGAATCAAAACGATTGCTTTTCCAGTGGGCCATTTAAATTGAAATTCGGGTGCTGCTGGGCACTGTTATTTCTATTTACATATGATTTCGCTAGCTGAAAGAAATTGGAAGAAATTGAGCATCCACGAGTAATATTTTATTTTATTTTATTTCTCATTTTCAGCATTCACCTATAAGGCTTATAAATGTCAGAGGAATTCGGATTTCAGCTTCGTGGACCATTGTGCCAATGCCTGAAAAATACTTTTCATGATTTCCAATTTTTGTATACTCGAGTTTTTCGCAATTATAATACTAGTGCCAAATTCATTTCTACTGACATATTTTTACCGAAGAACCTATTTAAATAAAAACATTTTGTACCAATCAAAAAATGAATGGTTACTAAGGATTTAAACAAGCTGAGAATACAATCTTCATAATAAGAAAAATGATAAAGCATATTTGAGCAATTAACGATTTCGAATAGAGAAATGATCTTTGCCAAATTTTTTGACCAAAGGAATATGAAAAAATATGAAAAAGAAGAAATATGAAAAATAAAACATGTTTTAACAACTATAAAAGGATCTAATTTATTGATGTTGGAAACAAACCATTTCACTGGTTTTCTTGTTCACTAGCACCGTTATGCAATTTTTCTAACGGACTGCTGTCGATATAAAAATTTGCTTTATGTGTTCCTAGACCTGTATCTGTCGCAATCCTGTATGAAGATCTTCGGTATTTGTCGAGAGCTGTCAGAGAACATAAAAAATGGTAAATTTGTACTTTTTATCTTTTGAATGACCCATTGCATTTAAATTACTTCCTACTATTTTATTTTATTTTTTTAAAAATTCCCTGTTAAAACCCGCCATTTTTCAAAAAAAGTGAAGAATGCCGATGAAATTAAAAACTTGTCTAAAATCTTGGTTACGAAAGAATCACATTTCAGTTAGTGGCAGGGATCCATGCAGAAATTTTTTAACGGCACTTTTTACCGTGATCACTTCCCAAAACTTGCATTATGACTTTGCCAGCAGACTTGTGGCCTTTGTCATTTATCTGATGTTGCAAACATGTATCCCGGATGCTATCGCTGTGATATTTTGGCACGATTGGTTAACTGTGCCAGCAATAGATTGAATATGACACACGGGACCCATGACTGTTTGTCAAGTAATTTCCGACAATTTTTTGAAAAATATTCTAAACGATAGAAATTTGGAAATTGGAGACCATTAGCATTTTCATGTATTTCAGCGACGACTTTACCATCTCCAGCAACGACTTGTAGAGACGAAAGACAGAGCTGTGCCGCCATTACAACCACAAATAACTGTGGCAATATGTTTCAACAATGCGCAAGAACTTGCGGTTATTGTTCGTAATCTGTACAATTATACATCTATATTTACACTACATTGCCACTGATTATCATGCACTAAATTTGCCTCAAAATCTCGTTCACCTTAATAAATTCATCAAATATTGCACATCAATATTCATCAAATATCAAATTTCAGAAAAATATTGAACATTATTTATTATAAAGATTATTTGATTTAATGGGAGGGATATCCGCAAAATAGAGATGTAATTTAAATTAATAAGGCTATGAATCAATAAAAGAATACAAAGATTTGTTGATTTTAGGTTTCCCAAAAAAATTTTTTGCAAAATTCAATTCGTTTACCCTAATCGTTGTAAGTCGAGGAAGTTATAAGTTATCGTTATATGTCTAATTTTTTAGCGATTCGTTGGTATTTTAATTATTTCACTTTTTAAAAAAAATTATTTTCGGATGAAAATGCGCAAAAACTCGTGGTTATTGTGTAATCGATTGAATTATAAATTCTATAATATTAACAATGATATGAAGTGAAGTTCCTTCAAATTCTCGTTTGCCATAAAAAATTCATCAAACTTTGAGGTGGTTTTGGAAGGATATTGGCATCAAGAATAAATCGCGTTATATTCGATCCTTTGTCCAAATTTTCCTTAAAACCCACCAAAATCGAACTATTTTCAATTTATCTTTTTTTTTGAATGCAATTTGGCTGTTTTAAAAATGAAGAAAAGCAGAAAAATTTTGATTCCAACGCTTAAAAAGTCGTGTACTCCTCATTTCTTTTTTCAAATAATCAGATCTTAAAAAAGTTAAATTGTCTTCTTTATTTTGAACACACAAATCTAACCTTCTGAACAATTAATCCAGCCTTAGGTAGGATTAACGAGAATTCAAAGGCACAGAGGACTCTATACTTTGATTTTCAGGATCTTGTGATCAAGCTAACGCCTAAGAAATTAAGGTTGAACAAGGAAGTGCTTGATTTTGTACTAAAATTAAGTTAAAAGAATTACAAGAAAGAAAGAAATCGGCTTAGGAAAAAGTGGTGGATTAAGCGAACTTATACATATATAAATAGCAAATAAGATATAAGGTTGTATTGCAAAAAAATTTACTGAAATATCACCTTTTTGACAATGTGCAAACCAACCAAAATAAAAGCAAACCAAGGCAAAAAACTTCAAAATAAACCCAGGAACAAATTCTCCAAGCACTCCAAACTCGTAACACTCACCCATGAACGACTGTCAAGTGAGCGCCCCTCTAATACTTATCCAATGCATGCTCACTCAAGGCCAGTTCTTATTTCCATCTCTTATAATTTTATCGTCTAAATTTTTAATAATTTATTGAAAACGAGCCAGCCCAAACTTTATGGCTCAATGGTTTGTCGCTTCGATTTAACGCCAGAACTGCGACACTGCAGGTACAAATCCTAACTTTCAAAAACCCGTCTGATATTGACAACTTTCTTCTCTAAATATATGCAACGTAGATTCCTCCTAATTCTATGAAATAAACGAGATTCAATTTTATTAATATAAAAAATTTTATATGGTTATATCAAATTAGACTATTCCATATATTATTTTAGGTTAAATTTTAACTTAACAAAATTCATTGAGCTAAAATTGTCAAGAATTATTGGAATAAACTGTCGAACGACGTAGTATGCATATCATCCTTAGTTATTTTTAAAAAAATAACACCGCCCACGGTATAATTTAAAAGCTCCACAACATAGAGGAAATTTATAAGGTTTACCTTTCAGCATGCGATTATCTGTCAGTTTTTCTGTCATATATTCAATTCGACTTGTCCACTCAGTAATTTACCTTTATTTGTATTATTTTTTCTTACTTTGACAGCTTTTGGTTATTTCTTTCTTTGTAATATATATCGATATCACTAATTTCCTTTTATTTGGCACCTCACTTTTTAATGAAGGCAAATATCACTTATCGCTCTGCTTGGTTGTTTTCAGGCAAATATAATTTATTCTATAAAGGAACAATATTTATAAATTTTGTTCCTGCCAAATTGAAACACAATTTATGTAACAGGAGAAATCGACTAAGACTAAAATATCTAACTTGGATTAAAGAATGCCATTTTTTGGCAGACCGACTTTCATACTGCTTCAATTACTGGCTGAGGCAAAATAAATATGCATCTACACGATGTGTTCGAATCGCACGCAGTCCTCTATTTTTTCAGGCCATTGGATGAGGCCCTCTGAAAACTTAGGCCCTACCTCAAGACTTAGAGTTTGGCCTCTGAGAAAGGGATCTTAAACATTATTTGCTCTCCAGCAAATATATATTTTAACTCCTTATATCTCTGCTTACGTTAGTCATACGACTGACCGTCTATTTAGGGATAACAAGCAGTGCTGTAACCACCTTTCACTAATTTATTTTTATATTTTTTTACAAACTGAAAGAGGACATATCGGAAAAAGGGAATTTGTGTCGCTTTTAAACTTCAAGTCGTTATCTCTTTCCGTTAAAAAAAGTATCGTAATCGTAACTCGATCGTTGCCGCGTACCTCAAACTTGTGTAATTAAACCTTTATAACAATATAATTACAATGATATTAAATAACAATATATATTATAATACAACCAATGAAAACAAAAACAACAAAACAAAAAACAACCCACCAAACCAGTAAAAATCGAGCGATAAACACCTCACGTACGAGCTCCACGCCACTCATCTACCACTACAAAGAAAAAAAAAAAAAAAATTATGTCTTAAAAAGGACAAGAACCGACACAAAATTGCGGCCACAGCCACGGCTTTGTTGGTATTTCAATCGAACCTTTTCATTTTTGAGCACACTCCCGGAGGGATCTTTGATCGCTAAATTCGTATCAGTCCTCTTTGTCGACGTCATCAGTTATCTCTAATGGAGCTATTAAGTTGATTGTTCGACTCGTTGTCCAGTTGTTAGCCAATATCAATGAAACTGACCGTATTTTACCATCGGAATTTCGTATCAATTCGGTAATTCTTCCGGCTCTGGGCCTAGTGTTGATTAAAATAACAATTTCTCCTTCTTTAGGTTGAGGAAGTGTCATCGATTTCATTCGTACCTGCATGTTTCGTCGTTCTAATAAACTTTGTAAATATCGTCTCTGCCATAACTTCCAAAAATAATCCAAACATTTCATGTCGATTGCCCAGTTCTGCAAGTCTTCTCTGCATACATTTCGCATCAATTCGAGTTATGGATATTCTTAGCTTGAAGTCCCCAAGGTGGTCATTGTTGTACCAATAAGTCTCTCGGACGTAAATATTCTAGGCTATTTCTTGTGCAATAACACAGCGTTGTAGTTCAAAAATTCTTATCGTCCATTGTTTGTTTTCCAATCACATCTCTCAGCGTTGTTTTACTATACTAATGTTATTATACCAATCAATCGTTCAAATATGTCTCTCATGGGGCATATTTCGAGATGAAGTTCCACTTGATCTTTTCTTCGGCAAGATTCCTTTGAATTTTCTGGATTGTGTCCTTTGGCAATATAAAATTCTTCGCATTGTCGGACAATATCGTTCCTACCCCGAATTGCCATTTACTTCCGTAATACCAGTAAGGAACTTTCAGCAGATATACCCTTTACTGTCTCCAAATGGATCACTCTTGTCGCCATATATGTAAATAGCGTTATCCATCGTTTCTCCTTGTTGTCTTTGTATTTTGTCCACAAAGGACCTGCGAGGTCTGCTCCCTATGTGGGTAAATAGAGCACTTCGTTCAATTCTTATCTTTGGATATTTGTTCATAACGGGTAGAACAAATGGTTTAGCTCTCATTCGTCTACATTGTAAACATTCCTTACCAATCGTCCTTTTCACCGTTTGAAACTGTTTGAGAATCCAGTAGGTTTCGGTCATTTTACGCACTACTGTGTCATTCGATGCATGTAGTAAGTTCAGATGGGTTTCCATAATGATTAATTCCGTTAGAGGACTGGTTAGTGGTAGAAAAACAAGTTCCTCTCTCCCATTCGAATTTCCCTTTCACTACCCATAATCCATGCTCTAGTATCAAGTTAAATTTTTTCAAATCGTTAGCTCGTATGCTTTCATTTTGCGCTTGCTGTCTTGACTTGATATCGATCAAATCAAAAACCATCTGATTGCACTTCTCTGCTGCAGTTATATTTATTGTTCCCTATTTTCCTTATAAATCGAAAAATATATATTCTATTCTTCTGAGTCGTTTGTATGAACTAAATCTAGTAAAATCAATAAAAGATTGTTGTATCTCATGGGAGTTCTCTTGCACGACGATTGTTGCGTTTGTTTCTTCTGTCGAAGATTGTTTATTTTTTCTTCTTCAATCTCTCGGATCTTACTAGTCTTTTCGACTCATAATTGTAATGGTCAGTGTTGTTTGTCTCGTGATATGGGTCCATATGGGTCCATGCCACTAGATTTTATTTCGATGTAATTCGTCTAAGGAAATACATCGTGTTGCCACATCAGCAGATTTATCTGCGGATGGAACATAGCAGAAGTTGGCCGCTGTTGCTTTTATTTCTTTCGTTCGATTATTTACGAATCGTAATTTGTGGTCATCTTCGGAGAGCCAATAAAGTACCACTTGGTTATCTGTCCATATAAAAACCGTTCTTTCGTTAATATCCAATTACTTCTGGACATAATCTGGACTTAGCCATCTTAATACCAATTAGCATTGCCATTGTGCTCTCGAGATGATCATTCTCTTTATCGGAATCAATCGCAGTTATCGCAGTTTTGCAAATAGCAAATCTGTTTTCCATCGTAATGGTGACACTTGATATCGTTTATATAAGTTTGCCTCATATGCTATATGAGCCAAAGGGTCGTAGATTGAAACTACAAACTCTAGCAATTGTCTCTTAGTCAATGGATTGGAGTTAACATCAGGTATTCGGAACGAAGAGGAATTCCCATTCAATTCCTAATATTTTAATTGA